ACTAAATAATAAATATATAGGTTCTGACATATGCTATAAAAGAGTGTAGTGTAAGGTTAAATTTTATAAATAACTTTCTGACTTGTTCTGACAATACTTATAGCATTCGAGAGGGACATGTGTATTAAATAAACTTATTTTTAGCATTCGATAATTTATTTTTTAACATGTTAAATAAATTGTTATCGCGATAAGTTACATAATATCTGTTAAATTAATGCTAACACTATTTATACTAATGATATATTATGTGCTAAGATATTTAAATATTTGAATAATATTCGTATGCACATGGTAAGATAGTTATTATACGGATAATATTTATATCAAGATGCTAAGTTAGTATGCTAAATTATTCAATATTCGATAAATTATAATTTTAGCATGTTAATTTATTCAATATCTGATAAATTTAAATTTAACATGCTAAACTATTCAATATTCGATCAATTAACGATTTTCTCCTATCCACATGTCTCTGAGTGAAGTAGCCAAAGTTTTATTTATGACCATCAGATGATTCTTCCTCTTAGATAACATATTAAAAATATGCATAATATCGTATGCACATGGTAAGATAGTTGTTATACAAATAAGTTTTATATTAACAAGATAAGTTCATATGCTAACTTATTCAATATTCTATAAATTTCAATTTATCGAATATTGCGGTTCCGAAAAACCTTCGTCTTGCTCCATACTCTTAGCAGATCTTGCAACAGTCTTCAAACAGCTACCGAACCGCAACGGAGAAAGACTAAGACACCATGAGACTTTCGACCTCCACGACCCTCAATCAACACTTTTCCACTCCCAACACCACCGGAAAAGAGATCGGAGCTACAGTAACGGTGTATAAGGCTCTGGTGGGAATTTGTGAGAGAAGCTAAGTTGTTGAGAGTCGGAAGTTTGAAGCTTTTCAAGACATGTTTCAGCTCCAAAAGGATGGGAAGGTAGCGATGGTTCTGATGATTGATTTGGTAGTGAACGGCAGAGTTAAGTGGAGGATCAATAGGTGGAACCTGTTAGTGAAGGTCCAAATAAAAAAAAAATTGCAAATTGGATCGACCAAATCAAAAGTTTTGTGGTGATAAAAGATCTTGCCAAAAAAATAACCAAAGCTCTCTACTTTAGTTGTTGTAGTCGAAGAAGGAAGACAAAGCAAAAATCATTGTCCTAGTTTCTTAGGGGGTAATAGGGAGAAAACTGTCACATAAAAATTGAGCTAATAAAAAAATTATGGAAGTTAAATATCTAAATAAATGGTTAACTGGGTACACCAGTTACAATTTCCCTTGATTTAATACTGTCAAATCGATATGTTAGTGGACTTAATGACATGTTTCATTGTTTGCGATTTTATTGGAAAACTAGGGATGGACCCGCACGTACGTGCGGGGATGATTGCAAAATCTAAGTTTATCATAAAATTTGCAATATTCGGGTCGACATGATAAGAAACCCGGATCGAGTGTGAATCGAATTAATGATAAGTTAGAAATCAATTAAATTTGCGAACTATTATATCACATAAAAACAATAGAAAACATTAAAACTTTTGAATAAAATAACATAAATATAGATGTCAAGAGAGTCAAATCCGTTCACTATGCATGTCGTGCAATAAATTAAATATGTTGGCCCACCCATATGAATAAATAATATGTCTTCTTGCATGTTACCCATAATTCTCTTCTGTATAATATTAGACTTAGTTAAGATAATAATTTTTATTTTCTAAATTACCCGTTATCTTACCATATCTGTTATTTTTTCCCGATATTTGAAATATTTAAGTAATTTGAAACTTATTTTTTGCTATTTAAATTTCATATTCCTGTATCATACCCGTCATTTGATATTTGAAAGTTAAAAATTGAATTGAAGTTTTGTATATCGTCTTATTTTTGATGAGAATTCATTTTGATATATACTTTTTTTATTACTTGTTCCTTTTTTGTACCCGTTCTTTCCCTCTAAGATAAGATCATATTTTTTTATTATTATACATGACATCATTTACATGTTTTCTGTTTTAAAAATAACATTATATAGCCTAAAATTAACTAATTAAATTACCCGTCCGTTCTCTTTTTATATCCGATATTTCTTGTCCCGATATTTGAAAGATTTAAGTAATTTGAAACTTACTTTTGCTATTTAAATTTCATATTCTTGTATCATACCCGTCATTTGATATTTGAATGTTAAAATTGAATTTAAATTTCCAAATTATGTATATCGTCTTGTTTTTGATGAGAAATAGTTTAGGTACTTTTTTTTTTGAATAATCCGTTCCCTTTTTATACCCGTTATTTCCTTCTAAGACATGATTGTAATTTTTTTTTAAATGAAATCAGTTACATGTTTAAAAAAAAAAAATAACATTATAAAGATTGTACATAATTAACTAATTAAATTATTCGTTCTCTTTCTGTATCCATTTTTATTTGTCCCAATATTTGAAATATTTAAGTAATTTAAAATTTACTTTTGCTATTTAAATTTCATATTCATGTATCATACCTGTCATTTGATATTTGAAATTTAAAATTGAATATATGTTTACAAATTTTTATATCATCTTGTTTTTGATGAGAAATAGTTTAGGTTTTCTTTTTTGAATTACCCGTTTCCTTTTTGTACCCGTTTTTCCCTCTAAAATAAAATCATATATATATATGGCATCATTTACATGTTTTTTTAAAATAACATTATATAGCGTGTAATTAACAACATTAAAAACCAATACCGTTAATTATTAGGCTGTTGAAACATATAGCCAGTAATTAGAGTGTATTGTTATTTTTTGTGTTACCACAAATTTAAACAAATGTAACCAAAGAGTCACATTTATAAACTAAGAACTTATCTCGAACTAAATCATAAAAAAAAATGAATCAATTGAATAAAATATATATTAAATATTTTAATAAGTAGCTATGGTAAATATAGATTAAGTTATGGAAATTCAAATAAATATTTGCTTCCATTTTTAATCATAATTATTTGATCTTATTTATTTATTTGTAGCATACATTAACTTTTTAATTTTTTTGGATTGTCAATGTTATATTATATGGAAAATATAATAATCATGTGATATGATTTCCTGAAGTTTTCTAAAATTATTAAATGCTAATTGCATGTTAGTTAATATCCAGCAAGATTGGGGGGTTAATATATTATTAAATTGATGTTAATAATTAGGAATGATTATTTGACTATTTTATTTTTGGTCACATTCTATTTTTGGTTTTGTTATTTTATTTCAAGGAAATATATAAATATCTCATTTCTAATCAATATATCTCAAAAAGTGTTTTTGTTTTGCTATAGTTGCGAGATTGTTTTTCAGTATGAAGATTTTTAATGTGAAAGGAGATTGTATGTGATATAAAATATTTATTCTATTGATATTTGAAAACAAATTTTTATTATTGATTTTTTTTTGTTTAAACATTTTAAATTATTTATTAAGATTTTATCATTGTTTATCATATTATCAATTTTGTTGATTATTTCTCTCCATATTTTATGCTATTGTACAATATATAACATATTTATTTTTGTGTTTTAAATATATGATGATTTTTGTAAGGTAAAATACATTTATTACCATATCATAAGAGATATACCAAATAGATAAAATACCATTAAATTAGATTTTATTAAATATTAAATTATTGTATAAAAATATCTCAAAAATTAAATATGTTACATATGTAAATTTTCGAATTTGATTGTCCACTTTTTTGGCAACAAAATTAATATGATTTCCATAAATATAGGTTGTTTCTGTTTTTTATTATTTATTTATTTTTTAAAAAGATTTTGCTGTCATTAATTTTGTTTGGCAACATGTTTAAGTTTGATGACATTTTTTTAAAAAAATTGGGGGCTGTTTGGCTTCTTGTTGTGCTTCCCAATTAATAGTATAGATTAAATTAACTAAAATTGACAACTTAATTCGCTACCAGCAAAGTTGAGGCTTTTTTCAACACTTTTACTAAGTTGACGTGTTTGATGAGAATAGGAAACAATAGATGGAGTTTGTTTGTTTTTTTACTGTCTGTGTATTCTTACTGTCTTTGATTATATTTGAAATAATATTTTTTTGATTAAATTAAAATAGTATTTTATAAAATTAATACTCCCAACTTTTTTTATGATAATTTGGATATTTTGGAAGTATGATAATTAAGATGTGTTGTGTAGTATGAGTTGGAAATTTAAAATTTAGTTCATTTTCATTTCTGATGATTAAGAAATTTAAAATCAAGAATTTGATAAAATTTAGAGAAATTTCCTTTGATGCCATCATTTTAGTTTTTTTTTTCCAAAAATATTACAATTTTCTTTTATTTCCAAAAATAGCACAAAAATTTTATTTTTCCAAAAATACCATAAACATAGAAAAGTTGATTTTTGAAAGTGTAAATTTTTTTTTATGTTTGGTTTGACTATTTATATTTAGGGTTTAGTTATAAGGGGTAGGGTTTAGTGTTTAAAATTTAAAAATTAGTTTTAAATATTTTTTTGTCAACATTGGGCCACAACTGGCTGACCCATTAACCTAATCCCTACAAATATGTAGAGAACGAGACTCGTTCCCTGGTGTGATGGTGCATGTTTATCAGTAAACTTATCATTTGCCACTAGACTAAAGTTACTTCACTAGTTTTGAATATTAAAAATATTAATTTTAGTTTTGTAATATTTTTGGAATAATATGTATATTAGTAATATTTTTGAAAAATAAAACTTGTAATGATATTTTTGGAAAATAACTACTTTCATGGTATTTTAGAGAATTCCTGTAGTAGTTATGATTAAATCGAAAAACAAAAAATATGTATCTTATTCTTAGGTAGGAAATTAGAAGAAAGTAACAAATCAGTGCAAAAGAACAAAAAAAGTCTGATGAAAACAAATAATAAAAATAATAAAATCAACTGTTAAAAAAATAAATAAATAAAAATTAGCAATTGACCCGACCCGACCCGACCCGTATTACAATATCTTGAAGCAAAGTCTTCGTCACGAACCTCTCGATTGATTCTTCCACTAAACTTGCGTCTTCAATGGCGACTCCATCTCCTCCGGTGAATCTCTGGGTAGTCTTATCGGAATCAAAACGAATCATAAACGCTCACTCACGCCACTTCTTAGCTCTCTCCGTTATCTTCCTCCTTCCCCTCTGCTTCTCCGTCACAGTATACCCTTCCGTCTTCCGCCTCATCACCGATCAATCCTCCGCTTCTCACAACAGCGTCTCTCTCCTCCGCGGACTCCACAACAACAACGATGACGGCGATGATATCGACACCAAAACGACGGTCTTGCTTCTGATTGCTTACATCGTTGTTGTAACCGTCTTCAATCTCTTAGCTATTGGATCAATCGCTTATAGTGTTTTCCAAGGATTCTATGGTAGACCTGTGAAATTGATCTCCGCCGTTAAATCAAGCTTCGCTTCGTTTTTACCTCTTCTCGCTACTTTGACTTCATCCAATTTCATCGTTTTTGGGGTTTTTCTGATTCTAGGGATTTTAGCTTTCTTGTTCACTAAGCTTATCCAGATCATCCCAGGTCTCGAATTCGATTACGCTTCTCCCTATTTCCAAGCTTTCACTATGGTAGTCACAGTTATCTCTATTGCAATTACGATTAAGCTCTATGTGGATTGGATTCTAGCTTGGGTTATTGTTGTTGTTGAAGCAGCTTGGGGTTTAGCTCCATTGAAGAGAAGTAAAAGCTTAGTTAAAGGAATGAAAGGTGTTTCTTTGTCTATAATCGTCTTCTTCGCTACAACCGAATTGGTTCTAGTATGGATCAGTACCGTAGCTGCCTCGGCTCAGCTCGACGATGACGGTGGGAAGTTGTGGACGAATGCTTTCTTTGTGTTGCAGATTGTGATCACGTCTGCGTTCTTAACGCTGTTGACGCTGTATAATCTTGCGGCGACTACTGTGATGTATATGTATTGTAAAGCTGTTCATGGCGAGCTTGCTTGGGAGATAGCTGAAGAGTTTGCAAGGGAGTATGTGAGCTTGCCTTTTGATGATGGTAAAGTTCCTCACTTGGTCTCTGTAGCTTACAACAACATCTGATGAATGATGATGATGATGATGATGATGATGATGATGATGAAGTAAAGGTTCTGTTTGTTTTGTTGATATGGGTTTCCAAAGGTAGTGTTTTGAAAATCTGGTCTTTTTGTATGATAGAGCATGTTGTAACTTTGTATATTCATCTTCTTTACTGTTCTTGAGACTTCAAAACTTTTGTAATGTCTCTGAATGATACTGGTTAATCTGAATCAAAATTTATTCTGAATTTGTCAGATTTCTAAATTTAGATCACCCAGAATCACTCTAGAAGCATTAATCTCAGTGAACTATTTCATTTGCTATTATAACCACCCAAAAAACTTAATCCACAAATCTAATAGTATATTATAACAAGAACAAAAAGGATCCCTGTAATTTTTGTTTTCCCCATGTACAAAAGAATTCACATAAGACCAGAATCTTGAACCTGGTTTTTACATTACCTCCTAAAGCTTCTAAAATTACACAAAAGATTCCAACATGAAATAAAATACCTTTTGAAACTGTAATATCAAAGTTTGTCCATAGATACCTGCGGTAATTTGAGTAAACAGTTAACACAACAGGTTCATTAACCAAAACGAAGCTCAAGCGCCTTCTTTTTATTCTTCTTTGTCAAGAGATTTGCTCTTCTTTAAGCCTTAAACGTGCAACAGGCTGTTGTTGATTAAAGTTTCCAGTTGAGGTGTTGTGTTGATTGTTTGGTCTTAACTGATGACTGCTAGTTCTAGCAGCTGGAACGTCGTGGTTATGTTTCCCTTCATAGGTTGTTACAACAGCTTTCGGGTCATTTGCTGCTCTCTCTACATGTTTCCTTACTCCACAAGCCGGTGTTGTACACTTATAGTAGCTCCTGTGAATTAGATCAAAGAGCATTAAGGAAGAAAGATCGATGTATATCTATCTTTAAACTCGATGAACGGGGTTTTATTTTCACCTTGGATAAGGATTTCCTTTGACTACTTTCTGTCCATACTTGCGCCACCTATATCCATCATCTAGGAGATCAACTTCACTCCTCGTTTGGACAATAATTCGAGGCTCTGTCACGGTTTTATGCGATGAAGCAACAACTGGTTCTGTAACCCGAACTTCTGTATTTCTGCAACATTTAAAGATTGTATTAATCTCATCAGAAAGTCCAAAACAAGGAATGATATTAGTGGAACAGTCAAATTACTTTATCAGTTTTTCAGTTTACCTTCGCTTGGCATCAGGCTCGTCCTCGTGTTTTTCTCCCACACTAGTCTCTGCATTACCAACCTCCTCGCTATCACTTGCTTCAGACATCTGCTCTGTTGTTGTAACTTGGCTTGTTTCCTGGTCCCTTTTAGTCTTGCTGAGATTGCTATTACTGGTTTGAAACTGAGTTGCAGTATCCGAATTTTTAGAACTCCCATTATTATTTCCACGCTTTTGAGGAAGTTCATGATTGTGCTGGCCCTTGTAGATGATTTCTGTTACTTGTCCATCGAGAGACCTCTCAACCTTCTTCTTCACAGGACAAGCTGTATGCGTACATTTGTAATAACTCCGAGGGAAATCGCTCCCTTTCACTTGCTTCTGACCGTATTTCCGCCAGTTATACCCATCATCAGCTGGTTTGTCAGCATTTTGAGGCTGTGACCGATGCTCAGAGACAGATATATCCGAAGTTTCTCTCTGACCCTGCGACGAATCTTGAACCGGCGCAGGAACCTGGGATCGATGTCCAGTAGAAAATGACTGATTCTCAGTCAATGAAGTCTGTGGTTGTTGTTGTTGTTCTTGTTGTATAGAGGAAGGATATTCAGATTCTGATTGCTGAAAATGAACATTATTTCCTTGAACTGCTTGAGCAGTGACTTGTGCTAAAGCTTGTTGGTGTGTCATACCAAATGCTCCCTACAAAATAAATTCACATTTGTAGTTAACACATAATATCCCAAAGATATACACAAGTCAAAACAAATCCAAGTATGAGACATAATTTAAAGATTCAAGATTTGGAAAAGAGAGTCAGAGAAACATTTACTAATGATGTTCTTTGCCTGAAAGATTCCTACTTTCTAAATCCATACATATATATATCTGAGAATCTTAGCTCTCAAAAGAACATTCATAATTTCTCAAAGTCAAATTTTCCCAATTTTGACCTATAATGAAGAACATTTGAATTTTCTTTCTTCTTCTTCCATTATCCATAAACCGAATGAGAACAAAAAAACCAGAAATAGCAACAAAAAAAAATCGAAAATCTCATAAAGTTCTTCACTTTCATTAACCCAAAACAGAACTTTCAGAAAAAAACGAAACTTTGATTTTTGGTGTTAATGAATCTCACACCTGAAGAGGTGAAAAAAGACCAAAGAAGCTCGGAGAATCCAAAAGAGTCGCCGGACTTAACCCCGGTGGAACAGTAAACATCCCCGGAGGTTGAGTAATCATCAACCCCGTTGGTCTGTTCTGTTTAAACCTCGGGTCAACAACATCACCACCGCTTCCACCGCCGTCACCGACAGAACTCACAGGTGTCTGATGATGAGCTGTCGCAACGACAGCAACAGCAGCAGCAGCAGGAGAAGCCATAGCTCCAGCTAAAAGGTGAGAGAAAGACTTGAACTCATCAGGATCAGAGAACAAGTTAGAGACGAGAGTCATAGGACCAGGACTAAACCCAACGCCACCGCTAAAAAACATTTCACCAAACGGACGAGGAGGGAGTGAAATCGTTGGCCGTGAAACTCCGGTGGATGGTTTTAGCTTCGTCGGTTGTTCTTTTTCTTGTTTATTCTCCGCCATCGATTCCGATTTTTGAGAACAAAGAGAGAACTGAACAAACCCAAACTCACACAGACAAAGAAAAATATCTTTTTGTAATAAAAAACTTTAAATTATACAAAAAAATCGTGTCGTGTTTTTCTCTCTTTCACTTTGTTTTTTATTTTATTTTATTTTTCTCTGGTGCAGTCTTTTAATGGGAAAGATTTTTTTTGTGATTTTCTTGTGTCTCGTCTTCTCCTCTCTGAAGCAGATCTCGAAAAATATTAATTAAATAATTTGTTTTTGTTTTTGTTTTTGCAGTATAAAGTCTGCGGTGCAGATATGAAAGAGTAAACTCTCTCTGTCTGTTTTATCCATAAATTATTTTATTTTTCTTGTTAATATTAATTTATTTATTTATATGGTAACGAGAAAAATTATACCTTTCATAATGACTGCTCTGTTTGCTTCTTTTTTTTGGGTAAAAAAATGTGAATTTATAACTTACTCGAATTAATTACTATCCAAAAAAACAGAAAAAACTATTATTTAAAATATGGATTCCAATTTTTCTATATTTATGGCGTCGTGATTCATAGAGGTCATTGGTTGATGAAATCGATTTGGTAAATAATTATTATTTTTGGGTAAAACGGTGAAAGCAAAAGGTTTGTTATAGAGAAGAAAGAAATTTAGAGATTGGAGTAAATTTGAAGGTGACAAAAAAAAAAAGACAACTTGACTTTTTGGAGGGACCAAACAACTTTTGAAAACGGGCCAAAGAGACAACACATCCTTAATATCCGTAGGGCCGAACCATGGAGCCCTTTTCATTCATTGCCACAACCAATCGAGTCGTCACTTATCACATCGAGAGAATTGCCGAACCAAAACATATAATCAATAAAATCATGCAAACGGAAACAAATAAGAATCGAATATAAAAGAAGAGAGATTAATAATGCATACCGCATACGTACGTAAGAAGCAAATCGTGTAATAGTGCCAAAAAAACCACATTCTTGGGTACAAAAGTCTCCAAAATATGATGTTGTGTGTGTGAGTTTTATATTGAGCCGACCATAAAGCAAATAGTGAAGTTTGAGTTTGGTAAGATCACTTTGTATGATTAAAAAGACTCCTAACTTTTCTTTAAAACGTCATTGGTTTAAATGTTATGATCCAAAGTTTTGTTTTTTCGGCTAATTAACAAAGTTCTTGAGTTAATGAGCTACAAATTGTGTTTAGGTTTGGGACCCCTCTACATAAACTACATACTTTAAAGATTTATAAAATAGTGACCTCCACGTTTATCACAATGTAATTAGGCCATGGTGGTGATATATATGATATCTTGAGACCCGTTGTTGGTAACAGGAACCAAGCAAGAACACAATACAGATCCATCTTCAGAATTGTCTAAATCAGCTGATCTATGTACGGTTGAGTGACTTGTGGAACCTTCTCATCAACTTAAGAAACAAAAACAAAGCTCTGATTATTGATGCGACATTCTTGTCACGATTCTATATGAATATCACATTCCCAAGATAACTTGATTAGTTACGAGATTTAAAATATTCAGTGGTACTATATTTTTGATACTCATTTGTGATATTCTTGGATAAGGTAGGAAAATGAGAGTTATATAAACACATTCCCTTTCAATATACCTCTTCCCAAAATGCAAATAAAACCCCAAATAGCCAAATAAATTCATGAATCAAATATGATAATAATTATTGAAGGAAGAATCATTAGAACTCTCCGACGACTTTGATAGCATCATGAGGCGTGTCGTAAACATTCTTGGATCGAGATTTCTTGACACCAGCAGTGAACCAGAGCTTGTCAGACTTCGAGCTCTCTACTGAGATTGTTGTGACTTTAACCCAAACCAACACTTTTGTCTTCATTCCTTCCACACCCATCAGTTTGCCTCTAAGCAAAGTCCCTTTTACGCGTGTTGCATACCTTATCGCTGATCCATCTTTGAATGTGACTTCACACGGTGAAGAAAAGAAGACAGTGAGTTTGTTCTTGGTCTCATCGAATTCGTAGCAGATTATGTTCTCTGGGAAGAGTCCTGGTGGTAAGTTGTATTCTTTGAGAAGATCTGGTAAGCTTTTCAGTGGTTTTCCTGTTTTAAAGAGACCACAGAAAACATCTTAGCATATTAGGAACTTTTGCATCTTTGATTTCTAAGCCATGAGTGAGATAAACACAAGATGGTGTATGTTACCTTTAAGCTTGTTGAAAACCCATTTTGCTTTCTCTTCAACAGTACTGGAGAAAGTCTGGAAATGAACAAGATCATTATATTACCATTTGAGGCAGTGCACATCAACAGGTTATCAACTCATAGCAAAGCAAAGCCTATGAACACAATCATACAAATCAAAAGACTCATAGCAAAGCAAAGCCTATGAACACAATCATACAAATCAAAAGACGAGTGTTTTGAAGAATGGTCTTAGAATAATATAATTAATATCTTTGCACAACTATGCTAACTCAAGAACACAAATTCCAGTAAAACAAGGTTCTTGTCTAATGTGTGTAGATCTCTTAGCTCAAAAAGCAAGCACATGAACACATTACTACCAAAACAAGAATCATCTTTTCTAGTAAACAATGACTTGAAAGTTAAAATGTAAACTCTAAATTGAGAAAAAGCTGAATTGAGTTAACTAGTACAAAGATTCTCCAATGTCAAAGTCTCAACTTGGTAAAAATCGGATCTTGTTTCTACATCAAATTGCTAAAACTGGAATCTTTACATCAACAACTTCAAAGTAAAAGACTCAAAATCAAAACTTGGTCTGAGAGATATGACTCTGTATCAACAATTCTAAAAATCTTAACTAATTTCCATCTTCACTTGGCAAAACCCATCTCAGATCTCCCTAGATCTATGATTTTTGATACAATTCCGAAACATCACTTAACAAAAGAAACGCCTTTTAATCACAACATTAGACCAAATGTAACCAAAACAATCAGTTTCAAACAAGAATCGCATGCAAGAAACGAAAAAAAAACGAAAGAACATCAGAAACATATCAAGCAGAAGATATCATCAATTCAAAGAGGAACTCACAGTGAGGTCATTGGTGATGTTGGAGAGCTCTTCTTTAGCTTTCTTAGAGATCCATGAACTTCCCACTTTAAAGCTCGTCACTTTCGTTAACGCCTTCTCCATTTCCTTCCTCTCTCACTCTCTCTCTCTCTCTCTCTGATTCTCTGATAGTAAAAAGACAAAGTGACAGAGCAGAGAAGAGTGATAGCTGCGGCGACTCTCTCATATTCTTTCTCCATTGGCTAAAAAAGGCAAAAAATAGTTCATAGAAAATTTTGAACCGAGGGTGTTTCAGTAATTTCATCATCTTTTAATTTCATTTTCCAACTTAATTTCCGCTTTGATGGCTAAAATTCCAAATTAAGCAAATGTTTAAAAGATGAAGAAGACTCTCTAACCGTCTAATTAATTTTGAAATTAACTAAGGAAAAAGTTTTCATGAAAAACAATGGAATTTATGATTTTTTTTTTTTGTTAAAGTTGTCTTTTTCTGATTAATAAAATTATGGTTCGAAGGAATTTTTTTAAAAAAGTGCAAAAAACTTAGCTTCAACGCGAATAAGATGATTGGATAATGAATAGAGAGATGCGTGAGTGTCCATTACAAAACTCATACAATAATGTTACGCAACACTAAATATATAACAATTATTCCAAAATCATTGAACCAATCTATATAGCTCACGCATATGGCACAAAATAATTTAGTAACATTATTTTGTTTAATTTTTGGTTCACTTTGTTCAAATAATATCGATTTAATATCAATTATATAAAAACATTATACACACATAAACACACAAAAATACATAAAACTCAAAAAATCAACGATGGAACATAAAACGTAAATCAACCGTTTATATCCATAAATAATTTAGCTTTCTTGTATGCTTCATTCATATGTTTCCTAAACCTATTCACATCTAATCTAACATCTTGTTCTTTTAAATAAACGTTCATTTTAGTCGCATTCCAATCTTTTCCTCTATAAGCAATAGGATCTTTCAAAACCAAATCATCTTTGTTAAACTTCTCTATCAAACTGCTCTCTCCCACGTTTACGACATACTCTATATACTCCAACTTCATTGCCTTAGCCGGTGATTCGAAACATGTTTTAGACACCCAACCTAGCCCAACTGGAACAACTTGAACCAATACTGAACCTGGTCGAAGAAACAACAAGTGGGTTAATGCTGCACCGTGAACCCCGACCATCGCGTGGCTCGACTTTATTAGTTTATACGCTTCTCTCAAGCTCGTCGTTGTCGATGGTTTGAATATTATTACCTCGAAACCAACATCTTCAAGCATCTCTTTGGTCTCTTTCTCGTTTAAGATCACTCTACCAATGCTGCCATATCTACTGACCAATATGAGACGAGGCTTGTGGGTTTTGATAGTAATAGGTAGGTTTGGGTTGAAGAAGGCTTTGTCTAGGAGATTATGGAAGTCCACTAACGATTTGGAGTTGGGTATTTGGGTCGGGTCTACTGTCATAGGCCCATGTGAAATTAGGCCCACGGTGGCTGAAGTGAAACAATGAGTAGTAGCAACGTTTTCATTGTCTAGTAATATGGTTTTGTGTTTGCTAAACGCACCTAGGATATCGATGTATTTAGGCATCCACCACTCCTTTGGATTCACTACCACGACGATGAAATCGCGGTCGGGGTATACCGAATTGGCCGTGATGAAAAGCGGAATGAAACCGTCGATGAAATCGTGATAAATACTTCCGGTATAACCTCCAGCGCTGAACACAATTGCGGGGTAATCATGTGTTACGTCACATGATTGGGTCAGGACCATTGGGCCTGAGGTTAGCGTAAGCTCTCTGATCCTAGGCATGATCCAACTCTCAGCTTTTCTTGGATATGGCTTTATCTTTTGGAGTACAAGCTGTGGTGGTGCTGATGTGGCGAATGTTGTTGGGTCTATGAGAGTTAAGGTTCCGGTTTTGGTGTCGAGACTACAGGAGCCGTTGATTGAGCAGAGGTCGTAACTAGTGTGGGATCGGTCACATGTAATTGTTGCTGATGAAGTCATCTCTTGTGGGGTTTTCTTGATTCTTCTTGATTCCCTTGTTTGTTGTAATGTACCTACTAGAGGAAACTTCTCTTATTTTTAGTTATAAGGATTAAAAGTGGACATTTGTATGTAACTCGGTTGTTTAAAATTGTACTAACATTTAATTATTATTTTTTGTCAACCGTGAAAACTATGACAAGTGTACGAAGAATAAAATATCACTATAAAACCGAAAATTAAAAATAAGAAAAATGGCATTGTGAATTTATACGTTTGAGAAAAGAAATCACGTTTTAGATTTTAGGTTTAGGTTTGGTCGGAAAACGCAACGTAAATATTAGAAAAAACTGAACAAAAAAGTAACCATACAAAATTTATTTTACTATAAAAACAAAAAAAAAATAGAGTCATCAAACACTTCACATGCATATATATATAAGTAAATTATTATTCATTCGTCCGAGGCTGGCAGGAAAATTTAATTCCCACATTATTTTACGTAAAATACTAATGTAGTTTGCAGATCTCTATGTGAACTACATTATTTTACTTTGTAGATCACAACGTTTTAACTATCACGTAACCCTTTATTTCATCAAAACAATGATCTTGTGGAAACAAAATTTTTTTTTTTTAATAAAACAAACATTTCTATTCGACAAGAATATCATATTACTTTTTAAACTTTTAGTTGCTTCTTTTGACCGGAACTTATCAAAAGTTAGAATTATATAATGCTGTTAATAAAGATACGCGTTTAATCGCATGGTATCCAAAAAAGAAGTTATAAAATTTGCTTGAATCGAAGAAGTAGTTTGATATATTATTTACATACCTTGAGAGAAACTTGAGGAACGAAACAGTTGACGATCAAAGACTGAAGACGTAGCAACATATACAACTATAACTATCACCAACGCGACGGCTGCCAACGAGTATCTCTTCGACGTCGTCTTCCTAGTTACCATGGTTTAGTGTCGACCTTAATTAGAGAGCTTTTAAGAATCCTTCAATGGAAGAGAAAATAAAGAAAGAAGAAGATAGAATGCAAAACAAGATCAGTGTATATATATATTTTTATATCAAGAAGACTTTTCTCTTACAAAATATTATTTTTAATTGTCTGCAAGACTTTTTTTTTTTGACTATTAATCAAGAAAGAAGAAACACTTTTATTAATGTGGAAATAATACTATATTAAAGTAAGAAAATGCTGATGCATGGGGAATACTATAATAGAACATTTCATTAATAATTATAGATCTCAATTGAATTGTGTGTGTTTACAGCTATTTGTTTAATCTTTCTTTTGTTTTGTTTGGTTATTTCATAAAAATTCTTTCTATTAAATAGTTGAAAAAGACAAAAATTTATGTAATTAAATAATTTTCTTAATCACATGATTATATTTCTCCAGCTCAACATGATTAAAATATCAAATTTGTGATTGTGTTGTTGTTTGTTTGTTTGTTATTATTAAACACTTTTCTCTAACAAATGTGATAACACGAAATTGTAATAATACGGGCCTTAAATTACCAGTGTCTTTATCGTAAGGGCCCGTCAAAGGCCCATTTATTCAGTAAAGACCAAATATACTGGCGGGAAGAGCAACACCGCCGGTAAGTTTTGAACGACGAAGACCAATGCTACGTTCAATCTATCACTTACCTCAAAGGGTTTCTCCGATTAGAAGATTTGTACTTCAACATAGATGCGTCACATGTACAACAATCAATGGATTGGTTTTGCCCGAAGACAAAGATGAGTCTTCTATGCACTACGCCGCTTCAAGCCCGTGCTTTCTCCTTCTTAGTAAGTGCACGAACATTGGTTCTCTAAGGCAAGCTCACGGAGTTTTAACGGGGAATGGACTCATGGGTGATATCTTGATCGCCACCAAGATCGTGAGCATGTACGGTTCTTTTGGTTATACTAAAGATGCACGCTTGATGTTCGATCAAATTCCTGAACCAGATTTTTATTCATGGAAGGTCATGCTCAGATGTTATTGCTTGAACAATGAGAGTTTAGAAATCATAAATTTTTATGATTCTATGATAGAACACGGATTTAGATATGATGATATTGTTTTCTCGAAAGCTTTGAAAGCGTGTACAGAGCTGCAGGATTTAGAAAGTGGGAAGAAGATACATTGTCAGATCGTTAAGGTGCCTAGTTTTGATAATGTTGTGTTGACAGGTCTTTTAGATATGTATGCTAAGTGTGGAGAAATCAAGAGTGCTTATAAAGTGTTTGAAGATATTACTTTGAGAAATGTGGTTTGTTGGACTTCGATGATTGCTGGGTATGTTAAAAACGACTTGCACGAAGAAGCGTTGGTTATGTTTAATCGGATGAGGGAAAACACTGTTTTAGGTAATGAATATACTTATGGTACTTTAGTGATGGCTTGCACAAAGCTTAGTGCTTTACATCAAGGAAAGTGGTTTCATGGTTGTTTGATTAAGAGTGGTATAGAGCTCAGCTCGTGTTTGGTGACATCTCTTCTTGATATGTATGTCAAGTGTGGTGACATAAGCAATGCTCGTCGGGTGTTTGATGAGCCTTCGCATGTTGATCTTGTCATGTGGACAGCTATGATTGTGGGATACACGCATAACAATAATGCCAATGAGGCACTGAGCTTGTTTCAGAAAATGAAGGGGGTTGGAATGAAGCCTAATTGTGTTACCATTGCAAGTGTCTTATCAGGTTGTGGTCTTATTGGGAATCTTGAACTGGGAAGAGCAGTTCATGGCTTATCCATTAAAGTTGGTCTTTGGGATACAAATGTTGCAAATGCTCTGGTTCATATGTACGCCAAGTGTTACCAAAATAGAGATGCTAGGTATGTCTTTGAAATGGAGTCAGAGAAAGATATAGTTGCTTGGAATTCTATAATTTCCGGGTTTTCACAAAATGGCTCTATCTATGAAGCTTTGTTTCTTTTCCGTCGGATGAATTCAGAATCCGTGACTCCTAATGCTGTAACAGTTGCGAGTCTTTTCTCAGCATGTGCTTCCCTCGGGTCTCTAGCCGTAGGTTCTTCGCTTCATGCTTATTCCGTGAAATTGGGTTTCCTGGCATCATCCAGTGTTCATATTGGTACTGCACTCCTGGACTTCTATGCCAAATGTGGGGATGCCGAATCTGCCCGTCTCATTTTCAATACTATAGAGGAGAAAAACACAATCACATGGAGTGCTATGATTGGAGGCTATGGAAAGCAAGGGGATACGAAAGGGTCTCTTGAACTATTTGAAGAGATGCTTAAAAAGCAACAAAAGCCGAACGAATCAACCTTCACATCTATTTTATCAGCTTGTAGTCATACAGGGATGGTTAACGAAGGGAAGAAGTACTTCAGCTCAATGTACAAAGATTACAACTTCACGCCTTCAACAAAACACTACACATGTATGGTTGATATGCTAGCTCGAGCAGGTGAGCTTGAGCAAGCCTTAGACATCATCGAGAAGATGCCGATTCAACCAGATGTGAGATGTTTTGGAGCATTTCTCCATGGATGTGGAATGCATTCAAGATTTGATCTTGGGGAGATTGTGATTAAGAAGATGCTTGATTTACATCCTGATGACGCCTCTTACTATGTTCTCGTATCTAATTTGTATGCATCGGATGGACGATGGAGTCAGGCTAAAGAAGTAAGAATTCTGATGAAGCAAAGAGGTCTGAGCAAGATTGCAGGCCATAGCACAATGGAATCTGAGCTCTTAGCAGTTGGTTAGTTGTCTTTGCTAATCTGGATAAATCAGTATGATGAACAAAGAATCATTTATACACAAAGCATTCTTGAATAAAGTTGATTCGTTTCAGTGTATATAGCAAGAACTGTTCTGCTAAGTACTAACTACATCTACATGGGTATATAACCAACAGAACATCTCTGAGTTGGTTGCCGGAAGCTTTGAGCTATGCTAAAGTTCTTGTTTTGTTGTGGTTTGTGCTCGAGTCTGCGGTTGTGAACTCTTAGGTTACATGCTGCTTTCATCTTATTCTTCTTCTTGTGAATCAAAAGGAACTTCATGCCGGGGTCTGTTGTACTTCTCACGCAATTGTTTGACAGGGATGAAATCTCCAGCGGTGTCAGCTCCATAGTAAAGAAAAGAAATGTAAGGATGATCAAACCTTTCCTGCAGAAACCACACACAAACATGAGTCAAACAGTTGCAATGGGGATTGATTGTCCATACTGAGACTACTCACCTTGTCGGGTTTTTCGGGAGCTAACAAATTGTCTTCAGCAACTGCAATTTAAGATCCATTGTCAAGTAACAGCAGAATTTCATGGCAGGGAAGCTGAGATCCAAGAGGTACATAAACAGTTGAAGACATTGGACTTGAAAATCAGAACTTACCATATGCCACTAGTATATCTGGGTGCGTGCGACCATCAACTAGAACCTACAAGACACAATCAAGAAATTTAGATGTCAATGTTTTTTTTCTGTAGATATGAAATAGAAAAGTATTCGATTGTTCATATGTATTAAAATGGTTTCAGCTTCTTTTTCTTTTAATGCAAGTCTTGATGAACATTTGCAACCATTACCTGATAAAATGGCTGATTGGATCCACGAGGCAACTTGTCGACCTCTGCAGCTTCCATCCAAGAGTTTGATTCACAGCAAATTGGATCCATACCACAAACCACAGCCCGGTAACCTAAAGCCAAATGAAACGAAATCTATTTAAGATCCCCTATATGAATGTAAAACCAAAGTGAGACAAGCATTGATATTACATATGAAGATGTACCAAAAGTTTTGTGTCTAAGTTTCTGTCCCAAACGAAATGCATACTCTGCTTTCTCAAAAGCCAAGGCTTTCGCAGATACAGCTAATGATTCTGCCTCAAGCTTTGAGATTTCATCTCGTAACTTAGCTGCCAAACCATAATCCTCACTGTCAACAGCATTCTGGAGATCCGCACTGCAATTATATCAAATGAACATGATATACTCAGATGTTTACACATACACACACAGAGAAAGTGTCTTACAAACCGAATAAAGCTGCTTACCGTAGCCTTATAATGCTAATGCCCTTGTCTTGAGCTTCACTTTTTGATGATGACCCTCTCTTCCCGTCTTGCAGCCTAATCGCCTCCTCTTCGACCTATCAACCACTGACCATACGTTATTCACTCTTCCGTTGCAGTTTCGGTATACAAGAACACCGATAAGCCCAACCAAAAGCTAAACAGTCTTTGCACGATCAAAAAGTTCAAAACTTTCACACAACTTATCCTCACTTAACAGATCATAACATATCAATTCATATACCTCAGTTAGCTTCTCTCTTAGTTGTTGTGCAATGTCGTACTGCTCCAGATTCAACGCATACTGCCATTTCAAATTACGAAGATTACTCATATGTTATAACACCTCAAAACCATAGGCAATCATCTTGAAAGCGATAAAACCTCGCAATTCAACTGACCTGTACACGAGTAGCCAAATCCAGCTGAAAGAAAAAGATCAATATATCTTCATTCGCACTCTCGCTTCGCTCAGAGCTCGGGTCTAAACCTTGTTCACCACCACCCCCTTGAAATGGCCATCTTGCTTCAACCCTCAACAAGTTTCTTTGCTTTAGTGACTTCCAATGGCTTCTAAAGGACGGTGATTTACGCAAGAATTGACACGAAACACACCGATCACCGAACAAGCTTGAAGCTTTCCTTGAATTTAAACGATTCCTCCACGAGCTTGAAACTTCTACACTTCCACAGAGTGTTAACGTGCTTAACGACTGAATTTGCACCATTTTTTCTATATCAAGACCAGAGTCTCAAGCTTCCTAATCCGATAATATTCCTACAAAACCCAACAAGAACCATAGATAGCAAACTTGTCTGAGATTCAAAATTGAAATCGAAACGAGAGACGAGACGAGCCAAAAAATTTCGAGTAGACGGAAAAAAGTTTGTAAAACTGAAACCTCTTCACGAAACTTACAAATTAGTTCAGTGAAGCCGGAAAGACTTTTGCCGAGAACTGGAGAAACTCGCCGGAACGACGGAGAGTTTTCGTCCTCACAGATTTTTGCTTTCTTTTTCGTTGAAACTTAATGCTATTGGATAGATTATTTATTGTTTTAACTCTTCTTGGGCTCTAAGGCCCATTAAACAATGAATTAGATTGGATGCGAAATGCTATATTAAGTTTATGTCTACTGTAATCACATTCTAAGTAATGTAACAACTCATGATTAATAATCTTTGATGAAGCTGATAAAAAATAGTTTTGTAAAAGTCAATGCAACATAAAGTAATTTATATGATAAAATTGATGAAAATGAAAAAGCTTGTCCTAAATACAAATCAAAGTGATGACGTATATCTCAACCAAAAATATTATATATATATATATATATATATATATATATATATATACTTATCCATTACTTGATTTTTGAAAGATATAGTGACCTTCTCGAGTTGAAACTAGATAATTTACTATTTAGCTTTTTATATCCACTATGTTTCAAAAGATGAATATTGTGATTAAATTAACTAAAAAGAATAGCACATATTGTGTACAAATTAAGTAAATAACATAAAGTACACATGTGTGGTGACATTTCTTTCCAAAGAGGTATGTCTATCTTGACCTTATTCACCCTCAAAGTAACTGCATCAGACTTGAAAGATAAATTATGGAAAAATACAAGGTTTGGTAAGCAATTTGCTATTGCAATAACATCATTATTTCCATCATAGTTGATCAAGTTGCACTTAATGTCATCAAATTTTTCGATGAAACATGTGATACTGCTAAAAATATAGAGAGCAGTACAAATAAAATATTATTATATGATTATCGAGCAATATCATGAATCAACTTCTTGATTAATTCATTAATTTTCATATTGCTCTAAGTTTTTAGCAGATGAATGTTCGTAGAATTATCGAACAATGTCAAGAAAATATCAAATGTATTAATATATACATTTGATATTTTTTCGATATTGGTCGATTATTCTACGATAATTTTACGAAATACAAATATACTTGAATTTGTAACTTGCAACAAAAAAACACAAATATACTTGAATTTGTAAATATACTTGTATTCAAAAATATACTTGAATTTGTAATAGCAAAAAATCTACAATAATTCTACCACAATTTCACAGAAAAAAACACAAATATAACTAGCAAAAAAAATTGTCGTTAAAAAAGAAAATTCTGCTCGAAAAAAATGTTGAAGAGGTTTTTTTTTGGTAGAAGGTTAAATAAATGTTGAAGAGTTTAAATGAGTAAACGCAAACATTAAATTTTAAATTTTCGAAAAAATATTGATATAAAATAGATTTAACGCAAAATAATAATAGGAAAACGTAACCCGTGCATATATTTATTGAGATCATTATTATGAGTTGACTAGATATTACGATTAGCGCATAGTACACTCTTAAATGCTTAATTATCTCTACTTGTGTATAAGTATTATATTTTGTTGTCGTCAAATATGGTAAGTAAGATTCATAATCTGACCAAATCCGTTATAATATCGTCTTTACACAGACAGACATAAAATATTAAATACATAATAACCGTTAAGAAGTAATTAATTAGTATGCAGAGAGAATTGAGAATATTACTACTAATACACTATTTTCTTAATCTATAATTATGTTTTCAGACATCAAAGATTCTTCAAACTAACAAACCAACGAAAATTCAGCGCGGCAAAATTAGCCAATCAAAGACCCCATTTTTAGCTTTGTTGTCTCTTTCTTCTTTCTTCTTCCAAAGAATAAGATTTCGAGAGCAACAACAACAACATTTTTGGATTTCACAGCGAAACCCCCTGGAAGAAGAAAAAACAAAAAGCTTTGAACAAAACAGACAGAGACATACATTTTTTTTTGTTTTGTCTGATTCTGACTTTTTTGGTGTTTTGAGGTATAAGGAAGAAACAAAAAAAAAAAAAGAGGAGAAACATAGGTGCGTGTGTCTCCCGAATCGGTGGTGCTAAGCGACATGGAGGCTACGATTTAGCTCCGTCGTCGAAGCACCACCGTACACGGAGCCATCTACGCGATGAAGAAGCCTTCAACATCACATTCAGCGGGAAGCTTAGCAGTTTGAGCGGTAACCTCGGAAACCATGGAGGTAGCACGAGAATGAAAGGTCTTTTCAAGAACAAACCTCGTCTCCCTGGTGAGATCGTTCGTCAGACTCGTGATCTCATCGCTTTAGCCGAATCCGAAGAAGAAGTAATCGATTCGAGATACTCGAAAAGGTTAGGGATTTGTGCGGAACTGTGTCGCAACATTAGAGATTTGAAATCGATTCTTTATGGTAATAGTGAAGCTGAGCCTGTTCCTGAAGCTTGTCTTATGTTAACTCAAGAGTTTTTCCGAGAAGATACGCTTCGTCCTTTGATCAAATCTATTCCGAAGCTTGATCTTGAAGCGAGGAAAGACGCGACTCAGATCGTTGCGAATCTGCAGAAACAACAAGTCGAATCTCGGCTCGTTGCTTCTGAATATCTTGAATCGAATTTAGACGTTATTGATTCGTTAGTCGAAGGAATCGATCACGATCACGAGTTGGCGTTGCATTACACGGGAATGCTTAAAGAATGTGTGCGGCATCAGGTTGTTGCCAAGTACATTCTCGAATCGAAGAATTTGGAGAAGTTTTTCGATTATGTTCAGCTTCCTTATTTCGATGTAGCTACCGATGCTAGCAAGATCTTTAGGGAGCTTTTGACAAGGCATAAGTCAACTGTAGCTGAGTATCTTGCCAAGAACTACGAATGGTTTTTCGCGGAGTACAACTCGAGGTTGTTGGAGAAAGGAAGCTACTTTACGAAGAGGCAAGCGTCAAAACTGCTTGGAGATGTGTTGATGGATCGTTCGAATTCAGGTGTGATGATTAAGTATGTGAGCAGTTTGGATAATTTGAGAATCATGATGAATCTCTTAAGAGAACCAACCAAGAACATTCAGCTAGAAGCATTTCATATCTTCAAGCTGTTTGTGGCGAACGAGAAGAAACCAGAGGACATTGTGGCGATTCTCGTGGCAAACCGAAACAAGATTCTTCGTTTGTTTGCTGATTTGAAAGCTGAGAAAGAAGATATAGGCTTTGAAACTGACAAATCATTGGTTATGAATGAGATTGCTACACTTTCTCTTCTCGATATCAAAACCGCAGATCGATAAAAAACCCGTTTGTAAACGATGATTACAAGTATTTTTGATGTTTCATCTGTTTTGTTTTGTACCATTTGGATTCGGATTGATAACTTGACAATTAGCATAGATTCTCTCTAAAGCCATTCTTGCAAAAAATACAATTATGTGATTCAGACATTTTTTATTCAACACCAGTCTTCTTTTTCAACATTGCGATGAACTTCTCTTTCTCTTCATCTGTCATTCCTGTGGTTGAACAATCTCCTACTCCCCATTCTGCTCCTCTTAGACAGTATTTGTCTTGAATCTCTCTTTCATTCCTAAACAACAACAGAACACATGTTCATGTTTCTAAGACTTTTGTAAACAGAGTTCCAAAGTTTTGAGCTTTCACACAATTTTGGCTCTGCAACAGTTAAAAAGATCGAATTTCTGAAAACAGTGTTTCAAAATTTGCAGCTTTCACACAAATTTTGCTCTGTGACATTTTAAAGACCAAGATTTTTGAGAATTGAGTTTCAAAATTTGCAGCTTTCACAAATTTTTGGCTCTGTTACATCTTAAAAGACCAAATGAGTATATGTGTAAAGGACTTACTTTTCTTTGTTTAGTTTGGAATTCTCAAGTAGTTTCTTGAGAAGTGGAGATTCTTTGAATCTGGCATCGTTCTCAGCATAGAACTTCTGGTTTTTTGCTGCAATTAAGAAGATTTCTTCTTTAAAAGGAGACAATACACTTCTTGTTCTAGAATTCAAGAATTGCAAAGAGTGGTACCATTGAAACTGTCAAGGAACTCGATTTTTGGTAATTCGGGACCTGGAACTGATTCTATACCAGTTGATCCCGACATTAAGCCTGCTTCAGCTGAGGAAGGAAGATCCATACATATAATGATAATGATGATGATGAATTGATGATATATATATACACTGAACCACAGGAAGATTATTGAATTGTAGTGTAAAGGTTACCTGAACAAGGAGAGAGGAGAAGGGTGAGTGAGGCAGCGAGTGGGAAGGTGGATTTGCAGAGAAGATGGTGAAACGGTGATGGTGAGGATGATGATGAGCATATAGCCATGGAGATACGACGGTGATGAACTACTCTTGGTTCATAGAGAGTGAAGCCTGGTCGAGAGAAAGAAGAGATTTTGGTTTGCATCATTTTGCCTTTAGATTTTTTTTGTGAGGAGGGTAAGTGATTCTTAATAGATAAGGGGTATATATACTTTTTTAACAAACAATTAAAAAAAAAAAAAAATCAACTTTTTCTCAAGTTTTATATGAAGATTTTTTGGGAGATTTGCAAAAGAAGAACATGATGAACTGATAAGGGAGAAACATATTTTGCAAACATGAACAGATAAAAGAATAATCCTTTTATTATTGCCTGCTATTGAAAGAAGATAGAGTTGAACTAAACAAGACTCTCAAGTTAGTGACTTTTAATGTAATTCAGAGTCATTTTATCCTTCAAGCATGGCTTTTGCAGCATCTATAAGAGCTGGTCGGAATTCGCTGGTAGCTCGGCCTAGAACAGTGTAACCTTCTTTGTCTTCTACATCCATATCTGCACCATGTCTTATAAGCAGGAACGCCACCTGAGTGATGGAAACACAGAAGCTCAAAAATCAAGGATACTTTGAAGAGAAGCTGCTTTAAGGTCTATTAGATAGAAAATTACCTGCTTGTCACCGCAGATGACTGAATGCATGAGTGCCGTTTGGCCCATTTTGTCCGTAGCATCGATTTCCGCTCCTTCTTCAATAAGAAATTCACACATATCTAACTTTCCAACGCTTGCTGCCCTGTGAAGTGGAGTGCAACCAACCTGCAAGTCACAAAAAGTTTGTTTATGTGTTGACACAAGGTAATGACACAAGCAACAAGACATTAAGAAGCTACAAAACCTTGTCTGTGATGTTAATCTTTGCACCGTGTGTTAATAAAAGCTGAGCAATCTCCAACCAGCCTTTGCTAGCAGCATAGTGAAGGGCAGTGCGACCACCATTGTTTTTGGCATTAACATCAGCACCTAAACACAGAAGAAAACGTCATCTAATGTATCCATCTTCTCATTCTGAATCTTAATTTCTAATACATGTAATGAATTGAAACTAGAGCTACTCACTGGGAGAACTAACTAACACACAAAAAATCCACTTCACAATAGGAACTTAATATGCTCAATCCCATGGAGGACTATAAAATATTCAGAGATAAACTATTCTGGAAATTTTGAAAAATATACTGAGAAAGATTACAGCTTTATGATGACAAATCAAGATTTCACCGCTTTCAACAACAAAAAAGCACACAAGAGTATGTTACATACCTCTGGCCAAAAGCAGCTCAACAAGCTCAGCATTACCAATGCTAGCAGCGGAATGCAAAGGAGCCCATCCTTCATCATCATTGCTATTGATTACAGTCTTTGCCGCATCTGAACTTGATAGCAACTTAACTATCTGCAAATCCCACATCCATAAAACATTTTTAACTGTTCCTAAATCCCACTAATCTCAAGAACCGCAATAGCTAACAAACAACACAGTATCATGTGGTTTCTAAAGCCAAAGTCAAAAACTTCACTTTATGGTTTCTCATCAGTTAGACAAAACAAATTATGCAGCTACAATAACTTAACTTCACTACCTACTGAGTACTGACTCCACATCTATAAGCATATATCTAAAGACAACAGAACCCACTCTTTTTCAAAAAAACTTCAATCGTTAAGGATCTCTCAGCAACTCAAAAATTATGGTGAATTACAAAGCTAGATATGAACACTAAAGTCAAAAGCTTTCAAGGTTTTCTCATCAGTGAAACAACCTAATTGAGCAACTGTAGTCATTTCAAGAGGTTAAGCTTCTATCTAACTACAGAGTAGAGTACAGATTAGTATAATTCAGACTACTCGGATTCTATATAAACTATAGATAATTGATTTAGAGGTAAGAGAAAGGAACAAACTTGAGAATGGCCAAAGGAAGCTGCGACATGGAGGAGAGAGCGACCGTCTTCGTTTCTGAATTTGAGAGAGTTCGCGAGCTGTTCTGGAGATAAAGACACGAACAAGGACGAATCACCCCACTCCGCTGCTTTGAATAGCTCTTCGTCTCTGATCTGCTTCGACTCTGGTTGCTTCGGAGCATCGATTTCCATCATCGTTCAAACTTTTTTTCCAAGTTAGAAATTAGGAAATTATACACAACGACGATACGACGGAACTGAATCTTATAGTGGCTCGTAATGGCCCATTCACACATTTGAGCAGAGAAAGGAAAAACCCAATGGTATAGTGGGCTTTTTTCATAGTGGCTTGTAATGGCCTATTCACACTTTTGAGCAGAGAAAGGAAAAACCAGTGGGTTCTCATAGTGGGCTTTTTCTCATAGTGGCTCGTAATGGCCCATTCATACATTTGTCTTTTCTGGTCCTAAATCCTGATAATTATTGATTTGTTTTTAAAAATCATTTTACATTTTCTTAAACTTTTAATTTTTTAAACCCGAAAAGGCGAAAATTGTAATTTTTTTTTAATTGAAAAAGAACCCGAAAATTGTAGTTACGATAAATGGGTAGAATTTAAAGCATGGGACAGTGCTTTTGTGTTTACGAGCTCGAGTGATCCAGCACACTTACCATGGGATTCTTTTGAATTTTGCCATTTTTTGGGTAAATTTTACGAATATGCTATTTTTGCTAAAATTTTATAGATTTTGTCATTTCTGATCTTTTAAAAATATTTATGCTTCAACTTTTTTGGCTAAAAGATGTATTTTATAATAAATACTAAATCCTAAAGATAATTAGAACCGACTAAACTCAAACATAACGAGTAAAACAAATGTTTAATCACATTTTTCTAACTTGAAAAAATGGCAAATCCATAAGATTTTACCAAAAATAACAAAATCAAAAATGCTATTGAAAAAAATCTTTATTGAGTAATTAACTCTACAAATATGATTAGCAATATGCATTTTTTGGGTTAATTATAGAACATAATATCATTATTTGGGAGCAAAAACAAGACATAATTTTAAATTTGTAAATTTTTATAGATGGATAAATACGAGGAGGAGAGTCAGGAGACCGTGAGACTGGAGAAGCATATGATAGGCTGCAACTGCATAGTCATATTTTTAAAGCAGCCTACAATTTTAAGAATATCATCATATTCAATTATTCATGTTCTTTTTTTGGTAAAAGCATCATATTCATGTTATTTTGGAATTTGTGCTTAATGGTCAAAATTGCTTTTTAAAAAACGAAGTTATAGTGTCACAAACACTATAGATATAATAGATGACAAAAAAAAAAAAACTATAGATATAACAGAACTACAGAACCAATGATAACTAACTTTTTTTTTTGAGGTAACAGGAGATTTGAAAGGGAATTTACTAATAAGAAACTTTTTTTAGGGGGGAAACTATTTTACTAATAAGAATCCATAAACTAATATGTAATAAATAACTAGTAGAATTTTCGTAGAGAAAATATAAAAAGCCAAATAATTTGACACAGAAAATTTTGTATGATACCACATTATATTATTTTTGTAAACAATATTGTTTCCAATGGTTTCGTTTAGGCTAATCCCAAAATTTTTAAATTAAAAAATACAAACAATTAGAATTCCAAAATCCCAAAAAAAATCTTAAGCTACCCCTCTAAACATATATAGTGATTTAGTCAAATTTTAAAAAGGAGGGTACTATTTTATTGACATTTTATTTCCCTCTTTATTCTCATCATCACATTCAGTCAGTCATTCACACTATTCAGCGTTTCTTTATAAATTTATAATTTTGTGATTTGAGTGGAAAGAGAGAGAGGAGAAAAAGAAGAAGAAGAAAAAAAACAACAATGGTGGAGAGACTGCCCGAGCAGGATCTGAAAAATGATCGTCGGAGGAACAGGAAGAAAAGCCGCGTCAAAGATGCTCTTCCCGAGCCATCACCACCATGTAAGTTTTCTCATCGGTCATTCTTTTTTTCTGTTTTTTTTTTAAAATTTTTTTTTCTAAATTTTGTTTGGAGTGGTGGTGAGGCAGCAGCATCACCAACGATCGAATTGAGAGAAGGTATGTCCACGTTCGATCAAGATGAGTACATGTCTATGAAAAAGACGGATAGCTCTGGCTCATGGAGAGTTACCTGTGCTGATAAGGTCATCGATGTTAATGAGCTAATCGATGCTAATGAGCTAATCGATACTGAAAGAGTTTGCAATGGGATTGGGGTTTTGAGGACTCGTAAGTTTTATCAAGGTGAAGAAAGAGTTTTAACTCCTTGGGTAATGTACGAGTTCCATTTGTCTTTATGGGATTCTGATGACTCTGATGAGGTACCCATTTCAGATTGCTTCCCTCAATTTTTTTTTACTTTTTTTTTTTTTGGCTTTTTCTCTGTTTTTGCTTAGAGGTTGTGAATTGCGATAGAGTTTGGAGGTCATGTGTGTTTAAATTTTTTTTTTTTAGGTGTCAAAGGTGAACTTTATGTGGAGGACTTATGTAATCTGTACCGTAATATATACGGGTGAACAAGGTGGTGGTAGTCCCTCCGCGCCTGATGAAGCGAGTCCTCCTGCTTCTGATATGCATCTCGAACCTGTTTCTGATATGCTTTTCGAAGTGAGTCCTCCTGTCTCTGATATGCTTCTATTTTCATTAATCCTTAGACTTGTTTTTTTACTCAAACCTTCTTTTATATTTTTCAATTTGAGCAGCCTGATCATGAGGATCCAATTCATGAACACGAAGAATTCTTTTCGTGTGAGGAGGTACTGGCGGACTCAAACACAAACACGGTGATCGGTGACAGCAACATCCCTGATGCGCAGGTTTAACTATTTGCTTATGCAAGAGAACTGTTCTCTGTTATATGTTTGATTTTTGTCGATACTTGAATCTTAACATGTGTTGGATTTTTTAAAGACGATTCTTGATTTCCTTTTTCAGGGATTGTGTATTGCAGAGGAAACAATACAGAGAACCCCCAAGAAACCAACGACGTGTACCTCTCTCAGGAACATGATCGTAAGCATCGTCCTCTTGCTCGCTCTCACTGGCAAAACCATACCACCAGTCTCTTTCTATATGGCCCCTGCTTTGTCATTCAAATCAGTCCCCAACCACCCTATGATGCTAGAAAACTCAAAGATAACAACTACCGTTGGCCTCTGTGAGCCCTGTCCCTGCTTCAATGACGTTGAAACGAACTCGATTTTGTCCTCGTCATCCCTTTCCTGCGACACGCAAACAAACACGGCCACATTCCTAATGAGAGCCACTGACTCTCCGACTCAAGCTAAAGTCCATCAAGTGTTCATAAATTTCCGGGGAGAGGAACTGCGCAACAACTTTGTCAGCCACCTCGCTGATGCCTTGGAGAGGCACAGAATCAAGTTGTTTATAGACACGTACGAGCAGCGAGGCAAAGACCTAAACAATCTCTTTGTACGAATCGAAGAGTCCAGCATTGCACTAGCCATCTTCTCTACTAGGTTTGCATACTATTCTTTCACGGTCTCAATCTCCACTTTAGAGGTGCATAGTGGTATACATAAGACTCAAGAATCATAATCTTTTTAACCATTGTCTTTAATATAGATATCCAGAATCAAGCTGGTGTATGGATGAGTTGGTGAAAATGAAAGAACGTATGGATCTACGAAAGCTCAGCGTCATTCCAATATTCTACAAAGTAGAGGCAGACGACGTTGCAAAACCAACAGGTGACAGTGAGTTTGGTAAAAACTTCTGGAGGCTCGCAGAAGCGTCTAGTGGAGTACAGATCAAGAAATGGAAAGAAGCCTTGGAAGGAATTACCAATAAGATAGGTTTGTCTGTACGAGACTACAGGTATTGTCCACTCTGAAACTATATAGTTATGTCCTCAAATTGTGAAATGTATGATGGATTAAGTATACATTTTTTTTTTGCAGTGTTGAATCCGATTCTATCAAGGGAATTGTTAAGGAGGTGCAGAGAGTGATAGAATTAATTGGAGTCGATGAAGAAGAGTCATTTTTGGAAAAAAAAACTTAGGTCGCCCATTTGATTGAATTTCTCGAATTTTAGAGGATGAGCAAAACCAAAATGTGGTGAGAATTCATTTGAATTTCTTTTTGTTCTTTTGTACTTTTTTTGCGGTTTTTTGTGAAAAAATCATTAAAACTGTTATAATTAAAATTTTCTAAGTCACGGTAGTTATGTTATGCGATCTAAGATGAAACAAAATGCAAGATTGGATTGGTTTTTGGTTTAGAGTCTTCGTTAATGGCGCAGTATTGAGTTATTTTGTAGGTTTTGAATGTAAGAATAAGGGGGTGTTATTCAACCTTGTATTTTAATTGATTTGGATGTATTTCAAAATCTAGCGTTATTTAATGATGTATTTTAAAAACCACAATAAAATCTGCTGTTATTGGATTTAACATTTGTTGGATGTATTTTAAAGTACTTTAAAACAAGCGTTATTCAATTTTCAATGGATTTTGTTTCATTTAAGATTTTAATGTATTTTACATCTAAAACACGTACAAACACAATCCTAACAATTTTCAAAGGATTTCATCTCTTTCACATCAAATCCATCTTAATTGTATTTAAATGCTATTGAACTTTAAAATCCACCGGTAATTAAAATCACTTAAAATTCTCCATCCAATAACACCCCCTAAATGTAAATCTAGACTAGAGGATTCAAAAGCAATTAACAGAACCGTCACACATTTGGATAATTTGCAGAGAAACATGAAAATCAAATAATTGAACCGTGGATTGTATTAACTATCCATTTTCAAAAATACTTCTTTTCAAATATAAAAAATGATAAACTTTTATATGGTTGATAAGGTACATCAAGATCATCATTTATACAGTGAGACTAAATCCAAATATTTATAAGGTTTTAAAAGGGTTACAAAGTTTTTGTAAGATTTTTAAAAGGTGTTTATACGTTATTTATTAAATATATATGTAAATTTACACACATATAAAGATAAATTGTGTCTATAAAATAAGTTTACACATATTTTTTTGATAAATTTCAAATTTTATAGTGACTTTTTGATAAAATTAGAAAAATGGTATTTTTAAAAAACACTATTGTAAAAGAGGTATTTTTGAAATTCCCTTAATTATTATATTCTATTTATATTCTAATAATTATCAATAAAATAAAAATATGATATAAAGATCGTAAAGTAAAATATAATATTTTGTTAAATAACTAATAAACCATATAACATGTTCTAGTTTCAGACTTGAGAAAATATATGAGTTTTGCCTGAACTTCTTTAATTAAAAAAAAAAAACTAATAAACCATTAAATTGAAATAGTCAAATTCTTGGAAAGAATGATATAGAATATTAAAGGATCAAAATAAGACGATGGTTAGTCGACGACCATCGTACTTTTTAGTCCTAAACAAATAGAAATACACCTGTCAACTAGTTGAGAGGACTCTATCCAAAGCTCGTGTCGACAAGGGCGAATATTCCATACGTGTTCTACAAACTGAATCTGAAGTTCTCCTAGTTTGAGCAGAAAAAATATCCCAAAGAAGAAAAAAAAATCAATGGAGTCTCTCGCCGACGACGTGTACATCATTTTGTAAACGCATATCGCTTCTAATTGCTTCGTTTAACTTAAACTAATCATATAAAAAACAAATAAAATGACAATTCTGGTGACTCTTTTATTTCCTTATTTATATATTCACGGTTTTGGCCTTTTACATTACTCACTTTTCAGCATTTCTTTACTCTTGAGAGTGAATTGTTGACCAAAAAAAAAAAAAAAAGAGAGTGAATGGGAAGTAGATCATCGAGAGAGAGACACGAAAAAACAAAAATGGTTGAAAAGTTGGTTGACACATCGAAACCCAAACAGGATCTGAAAGACAATCTTCTCAAGGACGAAAAGAAACCATGTAAGTTTTCTCATTCCCAAATCCAAAGTTCATGTCCTAATCTTTAATTTCTCATCTATCATCGAATCAATTCTTTTTTTTTTTAATTCTGTTTTTGGAGTGGTGAGGCAGCAGCACGGAAGATCGAGTTGAAGGAAGCTGTGTACAAGTTCGATCGAAAGGAGTACAGGTCTGTGAAAAAGAAGACTAGCTCTGGCTCTTGGAGACTTAATACTGGTGCTGATAAGGTCATCAATGCCAAATGGCTTACCGCTTCTAATTGGCTAACTGATGCTGAGAAAGTTAGCCAAGGTGTCGCCATTATGAGGACGCGTAAGTTTTATCAAGGTGATGCTAAAGTTTTGACTCCTTGGGTTATGTATGAGCTCCATCTCGCTTTCTTGGATCCTGCTCAGGTAACTTACTACTATTTCACAAATGCTTTCCCCCAATTTGAATTGGTAACAGTTTCAGAAATGCCAAATGTTACAAAGTTTTTCTTTTGCTGTCAAAGGTGGACTTTGTTAGGAAGACCTATGTTATCTGTAACGTAACTTATACTGGTGAACAAGGAGACATCAAGAAACGTGGTGGTAATAATGAAGTGAGAGTCCTGTTTCTTGATCTCATATGTTTCTCTTTCTCCATTTCTCTCATACTTGTTTCTTTTACTCACACCTTTGTTTCACATTTTCAGTTTGAGCAGCCAGGACTTATTGACCATAAAGATCTCTCTCCCTGTGACAAAAGCAGTCCTAATGCGCAGGTTTCACTATTTCGTTTCCGATCAGAATCTCATGTTAGACAACTATTTGCTCTGTTATATGTTTGATTTTTGTGGATCCTTGAATCTTATGAGCTGTAACATGTGTTAGATTTTTAAGGACGATCTTGATTTCCTTTTCAGGGATTGTTTATTACAGAGGAAGCAGTGGATAGGAACCGAAAGAAACCACCAAATACTTATCTCAAGAACATGATCGTAGGCATCATACTCTTGCTGGCTCTCACTGGCAAAACCATATCATCAGTCTCTTTAGATAACTCAAAGATAACAAATGTCAGTGGCCTCTGTGAGCCCTGTCGCTGCTTCAATAACATTCAAACGAACTCCAATTTGTCCTCGTCCATTTCCGGCGACACACAAACAAACAGGGCCGCATTTGATCTCATTCGTCGTTTCACAGCTTTCCATTCCTTCATCGTTTCATATCTGATGAGAGTCACGGTCCCTCCGGTTAAGGTCCATCAAGTGTTCATTAATTTCCGGGGAGAGGAACTGCGCTACAACTTTATCAGTCACCTCGGTGATGCCTTCGAGAGGCACAACATCAAGTTGTTCGTAGACAAGTATGAGCAGCGAGGCAAAGACTTAAAAAATCTCTTTGTGAGAATCGAAGAGTCGAGCATTGCATTGGCAATCTTCTCCACTAGGTTTGTATACTATTCTTTCACGTTCTCACTCTCTACTTTAGTAGTGTATACTAGATTATGAACAAATAAAAAAAGACATAAGGCTGAAGAATCATAACCATTGTCTTAAATATAGATATCCAGAGTCTAAGTGGTGTATGGATGAGTTGGTGAAGATGAACAAACTTGCGGATCTAGGAAAGCTAAGAGTCATTCCAATATTCTACAAGGTGGAGGCAGGAGACGTTAGAAAACAAACAGGTGACAGTGAGTTTGGTAAAAACTTTTGGAGGCTAGCGGAAGCTTCTAGTGGAGATCAGATCAAGAAATGGAAAGAAGCCTTGGAGGGTATCTTATATAATAAGACAGGGTTTTTCTCAACTTCTCCTGAGAAGATGACACCTGGCTGGCTATATATCTGACACCTGTACTTACTAAAGCAACAGGCCTAATTCATCAGTTATGGGCCAAATTTATTTTCTTAAAAACAAGCCCAACTCTTTGAAATTAACAAAAAAAAACTCTTACACTAACAATCATCCTGAACTTGCACCGTCTTCTTCCTCCCTTCTTCATCGAAACCAGCTGCTTCCATTAACAATCATCCTGTTTTTGTTCCATTACTTGTGGAAATCTCTATTTTTCCACTTCAAATCATGTTTGTTTTAAGCCCCAAATTATTATCAGTAACTCTATATCTACCCATCTTCTGTTTCTTTCGACATGGATTATTTACAAATCCCCAAAATATATTAAATCAGTGTAGTAGTTTAACGTAGACTGAGATTAGGTCCACGCAGAGCACTAGCTAGCATCAAATTACTTTTATGAAACAAAAATAATAATAAAGTTGATTGAATATTTATTAATTTCTAATTTAACATTTTTAAATTATGTATTTGTGATATTGTGTTGTAAGTTATAAAATATGTATTGTTTGCTTTCTAAAAAAGTGTCATTGTTGCAAAAAAATATTTTCCCTAATTTTAGTTTTAATTTAAAATTAAATATCATATAAGCTAAAGAGAATTTTTGAGAAATACCCCTTTTAAAAAATACCCCTTTTATCTATCCATTTTCAAAAATACCCTTTTTAAATATAAAAAATTATAAAGTTTTATATAGTTTATAAGGTACTTCTATATAATAACTACTACTGAGAGATTCGATACAAATATTTTCAAATGTTTTAAATAGTTTTAAATCGTTTTTATAAGTTTTATAAGGTTTTTAAAAGGGTTTATACGGTTTTTAGAAGGTTTTTATAAGGTTTTTATAAGGTTTTTATAATTTATTTTTACACTATTTATGAAAGGTATATAAAGTTTTATACACATATAAATGTAATTTGTGTATATATTTATAAGCTTACACACATATTTGGATAAATTTCAATATTTTTAGTGGGTTTTTTGATAAAGTTTGAAAAGGGGGTATTTTTAAAAAGAGGTATATGAAAAGGGGTAGTTTTGAAATTCCCCCATAGCTAAACATAAAATGGAGTAGTTAAATTTATTTTCTTTGTATTCAAAGAAAATTGGTATGAGTTTTTTTCCTTAAGATTTAAAGTTCAAAAATCACATAAAAATTTCCTCCTCCTTTTAAATTATTTTTCCTAAAGTTACTAATATGGGTAATAAATTATTTATAACATAGTTTCATAATTTTTGAAAATTAAGTTTATAATATAATAATCAAAGAGATTTTTTTTTTTTTTACTTTAGCATGGTGAAATCTATGGTAAATAATGAAATTAGAGAAAGTTTGATTGTTTTTCAGTATAATAAATTAGTACGTCTAAAATATTTAGATAAAGTAACTATTTAACCAAAAAATATTCTATTATTTAATTTAGAAAACAAAATTTATTTAATTTACTATTATTAAACAGTTGAGAGACGAAACACAGTCTAATAGAATATAATTCATCAAATTTAATCAAAGAATAATTATCATATTATTCAGAAATCATATATATATAAATAAAGTTTCACTCTCTTCTTATTGGTTCAGAAAAAAAAATTTGTATTATCATATATATATAATTCACAATTTAATATAAAACTGAAAAAACAATTAAACCACAAAACACATTTATTCATAAACATTAAACTCACACTTTAATATAAAAACTGAAATAATATAAATTTGCAATAACTATATTTTACATTGAATTTTTCAGCACACAATAAATTATAATTAATTCCCATAATCTTTTTTGTGAAATTGTAACTCCCTTCACTTCTCTTCCAATATATTCTCATTTTCTCAGTTACCATTCCCTCATTCTCTCATCCTCTAATTCTCTATCTCAATTATTGTATAAAAAATAAGCTTTGTGTTTTTTTTTGTATGAGTTTTAGAAAATAATTAAAATATTCTTTTACAAAAGCTCAATTGTAAAAATAAAAAAATAGAGACTATATGGTATACATCTTATGTTATTATAATTTTTGTTTTTTGAAACTTCATCTTTATTTTCTATCCATCTATCCATTTTCAAAAATACCTCTGTTTAAATATTAAAAATTATAAAATTTTATATAGTTTATAAGGTACTTCTATATAATAACTACTACTGAGAGATTCGATACAAATATTTTAAAATGTTTTAAATGGTTTTAAATCGTTTTTATAAGTTTTATAAGGTTTTTAAAATGTTTTTAAAAGGGTTTTAAGGTTTTTAAAAGGTTTTTAAAAGGTTATACGATCATAATACAATAGATGAACTTTACATTGACCACTATTTTTGTATTTAAAAATACAAAGAAATCAACACTTTGGTAGATAAATTAGAGAACTTACCTAGAACTAACCTAATATATCTTCTTTCAAATTTTAATATTTTCCATTTCTTCACTAAAATTTTGTTTTTTTATTATTTTCATTATTGTCCTATAATTTACCTAGGTATAAATTTCCAAGATGTTATTGTTACATTATTTTAATTTTCATTTAAATTGAGATATATTATTTTTTCTTGGAAATCGTGGTAGAGAGCAAAGCGGCTATGGTAAATTAGATGTGACTTTTCTTTTTAATTAACATAACCTATTTTTAAGAATACATATGGTTCAGTTTTTGATTGTATATGTAATTAATATTAGGCTATTTTGATGCTCTGGATTAATATAAGGTTGTTGACAAAAAAAAATTGAAATATTAATGTGTCATTATATAATAGTATCATATATGAAATATTAGAAGATATGATTTTTTGAGAGACCGAAGGAAAAAGTAATCAACATTTTATAAGCAATGACTTTTCTGAAAACAAAAAAATGAAGATGACATAGGGACAAACCTAAAGTAAATTTGTATAGATTACAAGTTCAAAGAGTTGTTTGTAGTGATCTAAGACTATAAATCTTACTCTTAGTATCCTAATGTAGTTGAATAAAAAAATATTCTAATGCTTATTTTAATTGATGATGGAATTTTTTGAATACAAATTAAAAATTTATTTAACTTTTTGTTTTATTTTATGTAAAAAAAAAATTATATTGAATTTTAAATAATTTATGCAGTAGATAGCAATCTGCATAATACAAAATAATCATAAAACATAATACAAATAATATTCTATGAGATAGTGCATAAAAATGAAGAGAATTACTTAATTGCTTCATTCAAATTGATTTCCAAAAAATATATTAAAAATATTATAAATATGATATCAAATTTATCTCGCGCATCGCGCGGGTCTACTTCTAGTTACCAATAAGATGGGTTTGTCTTTAGGAGACAACAGGTATTGTCCCACTCTGAAACTATATATTATGTGCTCAAATTGTGACAATGTTTGATGGATTAAGTATACAATTTTTTGGCTGCAGCGTTGAATCCGATTCTGTCAAGGAAATAGTTGAGGAGGTGCAGAGAGTTATAGAATTAATTGGACTAGAGGAAGAAGTTTAGGTCTCCTAAATCATTGAATTTTCCGATTTCAAGAGGAGCAAGTAATTAGCAAAACCAAATGTTGTGACGTAATTAGGGGAAGTGTATTAGAATAATAGCCCTCTTTAACTGTTTTTTTTTGTGTCTATTTTTGTTGTTTCTTGTGAGAAATCATGAGAATTGTAGTGTATGTAAGCCTTCGAAGGTCTTGATAGAAAAAATTCATTAATTCTCCATTAAGAGAAGCATTGAGACATGATTACGAAAACAAAACAAAGCTTTGATTATGAGATGCGTATGAAAGCCAAGAAAATAAATACTTCTCTTAGAAATGGAGAAAGTACTTAATAGCATCATAATGTTACTCAACCATACACAAATCAAAGTATCCAACAGTTATATAATTCATAAAACAACAGCTTACTAAAAGTAATTATGGAAGATAACTACTAACATAATTATTTTTAATCTACTAATCAAAACATTAATCACTTCATAAAACCTTGAGCCATCTTAGCATAATCTCCAAACCCATGACCACCTCCGGACTTGTCATCTTCTTTCTTAGCCGCCGGTGCTCCAGCTCCACCACCGTGGCTTCCACCGGTTCCAACACCGCCGTGGTTTCCACCGGTACCAGTAGTACCGTGGCTTCCACCGCCGGATGAGTGAGAGTGGGAAGTTTCATACTTGTGGAGATACTGTTCAGCCTTTTCGAGGTACTGACCAACACCGCTCTTTTCATCGAGCTTACCGTATCTAGAAGCAGCGTCAAGAATATCAGCTGTGGCTCCAGCGACTTTAGCTTTGTCAAGCTTGTCTGACTCGTTACGAGCAGCGGCTTGAGCAGCTTCAGCGACGATCTTGGCACTAGCCATGAGCTCAGAGTTGGTAGCTGGCCTATGTGCTGATGGATCGGTGTTGGAAACTGGTTTATGTGTTGTTGGCTCGGTGTGATCCGTTTTGTTCTTGTTGTGGTTTGGCTCCGGATCCGAGCCAGAGCTCTCCGGTTTCTTGTCGGAGAACTTCTTCTTTACTTGATCGGTGATGAAATCCATGTTTCCTTTGTCTCAACTCTCAAAGAAAGGAGGAGAAAGTTTTTTTTTCTTGTTCTTGAATTTGGAAAATGTAAAAGAAACAAGTTTATGGGTAGGGTATTTATTGAAAAAACCAGAAAATAATTGTTTTCTTTGTTTCTTTGTCCACTAGTTTTTGTTTCGTTCCCATTATCTTTATCCACTAGATAATGGGATATTTATAGTCACGACGATTCCGCCACAGATCTACTTTTAAGGGGATGGTGTGAACCATACTCTTTAGTTTCTTGGTGTGAAGTGTGAACCATACTCTTCATTTACATTTTGACTATTTCGTACAAGCTCGACCTTTAAATCCGGTCTTGCTTAAGTTTGAATTTAGATCATACATCGACATATTTTGACCATTGGTGAGTTTTCTTTGAATCTTGATCATACATCTACGGATCTACCTATCTATATACCTACATAAATGCTAGTACTTGTATAATCTTGGATCCTTGTGTAGAGCAGTAATAATAAACTTACATTATGGTTTATGGATTGGTTTGAAAGCTTTGATGAGTGGCAACGGAGAAAAGGTCCTCATGCCACATATCCAAACTCTTCGACCATTTATGATTTTGTCGGCAGAGTAATTAAACTACTTAAAAATTAAAATAATAGTAGCGTACGTTTTTGGATGGGCTTTTAAGAACCCTATAAGGGCTCATTAATAGCCCACTTATAGATTATATTTTCTGAGGCCCAGCTTTGTCTGAATAAAGTTCTACTGAAACGATGTCGTGGCTAGGGAAGAAAACGATGTGGTGAAGATGACCACACTTGTTAATGTGTTTTTGTCAGCAAGATGACCACATTATTATGACAGAAACAGAAGTGAACAAAAAAATCTAAGACCAATAAGAAGAAGAAGAAGAAACTTGTAAATTATCTATGTGAAACTAAAGAGTGGAACTTAAAAAAGAGTATGGTTCTAGAGAAGAAACAACAGGAGGTGAAATCTCAAAGGCGTGTCATGAGAACACACATCCTTTGGTTTCTGCCATTGATTGAAACCATTGAGTTTGTGTTCTCAGGTCACCCCTTTGAATCTCCCCTGTTCCATTATTTTCACTTTGCTAAATCTTTCATTCATATTCTAATTTCTGAGTTTTATTTTGTGTTTTGATTGTATATTCACAATTACACACATATAATTATATACCTTAACAAATAAATAAAAATAATTCCATAATATTTTAATTTTATTTCAAAGTACTAGTACTCTAGTAGCATATTCTTCTGAAGGTGAAAAGTCATAAATCAAGGTTGGTTTCTCAAAAAACAATGACTTCATTATTACTCAAAAACTCTTCTAAACCCCAAAACAACCCAAACATACTAAAACTGATAAATAAAAACGTTGACTTTTTTTATTGTTTTGACTAACCACCATTCACCGCCGTGTCAGCCACCGTCATTATGATCGCCGTTTACTCTCTCTTCTTCTTCTCCTTCATCATCTCCTCTGTTTATTCTAAACCGACGATTTCATTCTCTCCTCAAACCTTAAACCGATCCGGCGATACAGTCGTGATCAAATGGTCAGGCGTCGAGTCACCGTCCGATCTCGATTGGTTAGGAATCTACTCACCGCCGGAATCTCGTCACGATCACTTCATCGGATACAAATTCCTATCCGATTCGCCCGATTGGCAATCCGGGTCGGGTTCGATTTCACTTCCCTTGACCAATCTCCGATCAAATTACACTTTCCGGATCTTTCATTGGACCCAATCCGAGATCAACCCGAAACGCCAAGACCATGATCACAACCCTATACCCGGAACTCGCCATCTTTTAACCGAATCGAACCAGTTAAATTTCCGGTTCGCCGTAAACCGGCCGGAGCAGATTCATTTAAGCTACACTGATAATATCAACGAGATGAGAGTGATGTTCGTTACCGGAGGTGGAGAAGAACGAGAAGCTCGATACGGTGAGGTTAAAGAGAAGCTCGATAACGTTGCGGTGGCGCGTGGAGTTAGGTACGAGAGAGAACATATGTGTCACGCGCCGGCGAATTCAACTCTCGGATGGAGAGATCCAGGGTGGACATTTGATGCTGTGATGAAGGATTTGAAACAGGGGATGAAGTACTATTATCAGGTTAGCATCAAAACCCTTAAAGTTTGAATCTTTTAGCGAAATGTTGAGTTTTTCAGAATCAAGTTTGAAAAGTTGAGTTTTATTTTCAATTCAATCAGGTTGGGAGTGATTTGAAAGGATGGAGTGAGATTCATAGCTTTGTTTCTAGAAATGAGAGCTCAGAAGAAACTTTAGCTTTCATGTTTGGGGATATGGGATGTTCTACACCTTACAGAACGTTTATTCGTGGTGAAGATGAGAGTTTATCAACTGTGAAGTGGATTTTAAGAGACATTGAAGCTTTAAGTGATGATAAGCCTGCGGTTGTATCGCACATTGGAGATATTAGTTATGCGAGAGGTCACTCGTGGATTTGGGATGAGTTCTTTACTCAGATTGAGCCAATTGCATCTAAAGTGCCATACCATGTGTGTATTGGTAACCATGAGTATGATTGGCCTATGCAGCCTTGGAAACCAGATTGGGCTGCTTATGTTTATGGTAAAGATAGTGGTGGTGAATGTGGTGTACCGTATAGTGTTAAGTTCAACATGCCTGGAAACTCGTCGGAAGCAACGGGTATGGTTAAGGGACCTCAAAGCCGGAACCTTTACTATTCTTATGATATGGGTTCGGTTCATTTCGTTTATGTTTCAACAGAGACGGATTTTCTTAAAGGAGGGAAGCAGTATAGCTTTCTGAAGAGTGATCTAGAGTCTGTGAATAGGAGCAAGACACCTTTTGTTGTTGTACAAGGGCATAGACCGATGTACACTACAAGTAGGAAGATCAGAGACGCTGCGATTAGACAGAGGATGATCGAGCATTTGGAACCATTGTTAGTGAAGAACAATGTGACGGTTGCTTTATGGGGACATGTTCATAGATACGAAAGGTTTTGTCCGATTAGTAACAACACTTGTGGTGAACGTTGGCAAGGAAACCCTGTTCATCTTGTGATTGGTATGGCTGGAAAAGATACACAACCTATTTGGGAACCGAGACCTAATCACCAGGATGTCCCTATATTTCCTCAGCCTGCAAACTCAATGTACCGTGGAGGCGAGTTTGGGTACACTCGTTTGGTTGCTAATAAAGAAAGGCTCACTCTTTCGTATGTGGGAAACCACGACGGAGAAGTTCATGATGTGGTTGAGATTTTGGCTTCTGGGGAAGTCCTTAGCGGTAGTGATGATGGTAAAGAAGAAAAATTTGGATCTGAATCTGATATTGCAGTCTTATGGTATATTGAAGGAGCAAGTGTGATGGTTTTGGGAGTGATATTGGGATATTTTGTCGGGTTTTTTAGTCGTAAAAAGAAAGAATCTGGAATTGGATCATCTAATGGTAGTTGGATCCAAATGAAAAGCGAGGAGACATGATTCAACTAATTTGTTTTTGTTTGTTTTTTGCCACACAGATTTGTATAGCATTCTTATATATTACGAGGTACCATCCAAAATCTTATCAACTTTTTCCTCAATTTTGCTACTAAGACATTTTGGTGATAAAATAAGCATAATAATTAACAACTAAACAACATCAAAGCAGAACTTAGGTAGTCCTACCAAACCTTTCAAATTTATCCACATCCTTGTCTTTGTGTCATACATCAAAGCTCTCCATTAGTGGCAGAGTACAAAAGATTATATTCTCTATCTCGCAAGAAACTGAAACCTTGTACTGATCCATTTCTAGTCCAACCATGTCCCATGTACCTTCCTTGGAATTGTAAGCAACTACCTCTCTGTAACACATGTAACTTTCCGTCAATACTTTTGGTTTTGCAGGAGTAAAAATCGCCTTTAGTCTCGCTATAAATGATGGTTTCAGGATCCAAATTTTGTGTTTCGTTTTTGCACACCTCGAACGAATTCTTCAAGGAATTGGAATCACTATCTATGAAACTTCCTGCTACTTATGTCTTTCTTTCGATCAACTCACTCACAACCTGAAGCTTACAAGCCTTACATTCAAGTCACAACTCACAACGCACAACCTAAAACTTATACATACAAGGAAATAAAGACGAATGTTAAGAGAGTAGATACAGAGGCTCTGTGACCGTCTGACATAGCAAATGAACAAAAGAATATAAACCTAAAGCTTACAAGATCCAGAAACTAAAACTTAACAAGACCAGAACATCAAGCTTTTAACTGGAGCAAGACACCGTTTGCTGTTGTACACCTATATGTTCACTACAAGTAGGAAGATCAGAGATGTTGCGAGAAGACATAAGATGAGTGAGCATTTGGAACCATTGCTAGTGAAGAACAGTGTGAAAGTTGCTATATGGGTACATGTTCATAGATAAGGTTTTGTCCAATTAGTAACAACTAACAACAACTCTCTTCTTCTTCAACCTAAACCAATAAAAACTTCCTAAGAGAAAACTTTCAAACTTCTGCGTTTTTTTTTTCTTTTTTTAATAATTCACATAGGAAAAAAAAAAACCTTCAGCAGAAATCCATGGAAGAGGAGATGAAAACTATTTTTAATTTTCCATTTACTTCCCCTTCAAGTTATCATCATCATTATCTTCCCAATCTTCTTGACCAAATATCTCTTCAATGATGTTGGAAGTTGGTAGAAGGTCGTTGTTCTTGGTCCAACAATCTGATGTGAGTCTCTGATCCTCACCAGATCTATGGCACTCTCTGTTTTCGTTTGGGTTGTGAGCGAAGATCAAGTTGGAGTCTTGTAACTCGAAGGACATACATGAGTCTTCTTCCACATTTACATCCTCACCAACACTGTCTCTTGAAGCCTTATCCATATATACACAATGGGCATCGTTACTTGGTGAGTCTTCCTCTTCATCTTCATCATCACTGCTGTTTGTCTCTTCTTCTTCCTCGTTATCTTCATATGAGGAGTGATTTCCATTGTTGTCTTCCCCATCTGAAAATTTGGTCTTGTAAAAAATGTCATATTCAACTTGCCACTCGTCATCATCACTGTCAACATCTAGGGCTCTGAACCGATTCTGAGTACCCCGTCTACGCAAGATGAAGACATTGAAGTAGTAGCTGACAAATTCCTTCATGGTTCTTGAAGGAAACGTTGCCTTTAATTGCTTCCAGAAGTTGCGACCCACTGAAAATGGATGGGAGTATACAATCCTGTGAAAGAGATCTTCTTCGTCTTTAGTCCACAAGCTTGCAACTTCCTCCCCCATTTCACAGAACCCTAGCTCCATAAACCTTTCATATCCAATCGTTTCAACAAGCCCTTCTCTGGCTTCCATGATATGTCGCTGCACGCATCTAATGGAGTGTTTATCTGGGCAAAGACATCCTTTTCTTCCTTGGCCGGTTCCACAAAGATCTGAGACATGCATTGGTATTATGCACTTTCCCATCAGCTTCTCTTCCAAGTCACCGTTACCACTCCCTGACCGATCAAGAATATCTTTCTTGACAAACTCAGGAATATCCGCCTGGTGATTAGACCCAACAGGAACTAGTTTCCTTGGTGGTTGTTTCATCAGACAAGTATAAACGTCTTCCACTGGGGAAAGTGGCCTCCAGGTGAAATCTGAACCAAAAGATTGATTAGAAAGATCTGACTGAGTCATCCCTCCAGATTGAGAATCTTCCTGACACAAATCGGTTGCTGGTGAAATCCACGGAAACTGAGCACACGAGTCAAAACCCTTGTCAACATCATTAGTCCATGTAGGGTTCCCACAGAGACCACCCAGACCTTCTACTGCAACAAAAGACATCCAAAGTTAAAACACTTGCTTAAAACTTAGGAGAACAGAGTATACTAATTTCTCGCATTTAAGGTATCACTGTACCTAAAACACCAGTCTTCTTCTCCATAGGAAGATGATGATAAGGCATAGCTTCGTCAAACTGGTTCAGCTGGTCATGGTTGTTATATGTAAGCTGTCTTGCATGTTTAGCATTGCACTCTTGCATATCTTCAGCGTCAAAAGGTCGTTTTAGTCCCATTTTTTTTTAGAACCTGAATGGTCAGAACCAAAGTCAATTTAGTAATTTTCTTAATCATTAGAGGTTATAAATTTTGTACATATGGACAATTCCATAATTGAAGAGACCAAAGATAATTGATTTTGATGTTTTTAGGTAGTTGTGGGTATTAGTGTAATTTTAATTTATAGTCAAAAAGTCAAACTTCGTTCCAGGAATCCCCAAATTCAAAAATCCCCAAATTTCAAAACCCTAAATCCTAAATTTTTCAATTCACGGAAAAAAACACAAAATCAAGAGTCGAAAACCAAAGAATCAATCAATTTCAAGTACGAGGAACAAAAGCCCCAAATCAATTTTCAGATCTAACGAGCCTTAAGGCACCAAACGCCATGACGAACAAATTAGGGCTAGAAAATTTGGGGAAAACATGAAATTAAGCCAGGGATGTTAAAAAGAAACGATACCCAGGAAAACGCCTAAACAGATCTGTCGATTTGTGATCAAAATCAAAACTCAATTGATAAAACCCTAGATTTGACGATATCGAACGATGATATCAAAACATGTATCAATCGAAAGATAAAAATAAGAATAACAAGAAACTTACAATTGATTTAAAGAATTATCTAAGAGAAGGAGAGGATTTGATCGAATTCGTTTTACAAAAAAAAAGAAAAAGAAATTGGGGAAAATTTCGAAGGCGGCTAGGGTTAACTGGTTCGTGTTTACGAAGGAAGGAGAGAGGCGTAAACTTATTAAAAATCCTGTCAAATAGAAAGTTACAAGTATAGCCTCAGCTTTATAAACCAACACGTGTAATCAACTTGGATTGCCATTATCTAGGTCTATTTATTAAACCATCTTAACCGAAATTGAGAAAATATATGATCTAAAAAATGGAATTGTATTAAACCACCTAAAAATATTCTTTGATAATAATGGAAATCAAACAAAATCTTACATCTGTTACAATATAAAGAGAGAGAGTTATTTATTATTATACCTTGACAAAAAAAACGAATTAAAAAAATAGGACTTATCAATTATAAAAAGTAAAACTTATTCATATAAAATAAAAGTAATATTTTTACCAAACAAAAAAAGAAAAGTAAAAACTCACTGAAAATGTAAAGTTTTCCACAACGTTCATGTATCATCAACTAAACTATTGGGATATTATGTTATATGATTTGCAAGATTTGTAATAGCTTCGTTTGATTTTGCATACGATCGTTGTTTGCGATGTTGAGCTCGAGCTCTTCTAAGTTCTAACAAATATGATATGGTTTTACCTCTTTTTTTGGCAACTTCTTTGTTTCAAGAAAGTTTCTTGTGGTATCAAAGCAATGGTGATGGTTGTGATCTGTTCACAACCCTGTAGTGGAACAACGTACGGTTCGATAATTATAGCTTTGAAGAGCTTCAACTAATTTGAATACAAGCAAAATGTCGAAGTTTAAAGAGAAGAAAGTTCTTAGTGTCCATTGTTAGGAATGAAACAAGATACATAGAGAGAAATCCTAATTGTATACATCTTCAGAGATAGAATTGATCATGACTCTTCTCTTGTGAGATCACAATTTAGCCAAGATGTACGGATGGTTCCACATAAACCTGAGACATCAAACTGACTATAGCAACCTAGGAATGTTTACACTTTACAAGTGAGCTCTCTTTACGAGGTAGACAAGAAGACAATATAAGAAATCATCAATGAACAGAGAGGATTTGTACAAAACAGTGAGATTGATCTAAACCACTTGAACTAAAAAAATGTCTGAAATATAGTAACGTCGCTTAAATTTGATCATGTTGTTCTTATTATCTTAATCTTATCAAAGCCACCAACCCAAGTTCGATTCTTATTAGATATTTTTAAAATTCTTTCGTTGGTTTATTTTTTAAAATATTATATATTGTACAGATAAATATCAGTTTCTTGTTTTGTAAAATTTGTAATAATGTGTGCTTAGTGAGAAAGCGAAGGTACTTAGATTTTGTTTTCTATCAAATATTCATCAACCGGACATAAGAAAACGATTGCTTTGACGATTTGTTGCCTGATTTGTTTCATTTTTTCCACTTTTATCTTTAATTTTTAATGACTTTCATTATAATTGAGTTTAAGTCTATCAAAATATGTACACCTACCTAACACATATAAATAATTTTAACTTTTTAAACATGAAAATTTTGTATTCTTCCTTTTTATATAGTAGTGGATTCGTATTGCCTACCAACAACAACATAATAATACAGTCTTTAATTAATAAAATGTTTTAAAAAATCTTAGTGAATGTCAAGAAAATAATAAAAATATACTTAAGAGACACCAAAAGACAAAGAGACCAAATTAATAAATGCCCACAAAAAGCAAAAGTGCACCACGAATTTTGCAATTATTCTCTTCTCTCTCTATCGCTGTTTCTTTCATGACTGTTTTTTTCTTTGGTATTAAAAAAGTTTTTACTTACACATACTTTTTCTTCTTAGATCTAAATTACATTTAAAATTCCACTTTAATTAAATTTTCATAATCATCGTCATTTAATACTTTACTTTATTAATCTACTATATTCTGATAATTCGATTAAAAAAAAAAAACGAACTCGACGCAGAGCAGAGTAAAAAAAAAAAATAGAGAGAGTAGCCATATAATTGGAATCTCACATTCTCTTCTCTCTCTTCTTCTTCTCTTCTCTTCGTCTGAATCTCTCATTGCCATTTTTGTTTGTTGCTTTTGAAAGCTATTAACTTTGGTACGCATCTCAAAAACCCTAAATTTATTCTTCTTTGTCGTGAATTATTGTTTTTTTTTTTTTTGATCTGATCTCTCTGATCTTCTTCGTCATTCTCGAGATCTCAATCATGGGTTTATCCATAGTATTTATTATCATGAAGCTTTTTTTTTTTGTTCGTCGAGGAGAAATAAAAAATGGAAGCAAAATTGGCTTAATGTATAGATTCACTAGAAATGGAAATGTTTCTTTTTTTGGGAAAAAGTTTTGATCTGTGAGATTTGGTTTGCAGGTGGTTTGATTTGTTTCAAGCTCAGATTTTTCCGTAATTGGCATTGCCCTTTGAGAGTTTCATCTTCAATTTTTGGCTATATCGAGATTTGCTTCTCAATTTGGCATCTCTACTAGTGCCAGCCATTTCTTGATTTGGATCATAAAAGAGTGGTGAAAAGCTTGAGTCTATGGGATTTTGAAATGGCTTGATCAGGTGATGAGAGGATGTACTTGCAAAAAGATTGAGACTTGTTTGAGAAAAAGCGGATGACAAAGTTTCTGTGGTCAGCAAGAGGGATTATTAGTGGTTTCTGCTTACCAAAGAGACGATCTTTTTGATATGAGAGGTTCTTGGTACAAGAGTGTTTCCTCGGTTTTTGGTCTCAGACCACGGATCAGAGGGTTGCTTTTCTTCGTTGTCGGTGTTGTGGCTTTAGTTACTATTTTAGCACCATTGACATCCAATTCGTTTGATTCTTCTTCAAGTTCGACTCTTGTGCCCAACATTTATAGTAACTATAGGAGGATAAAAGAGCAAGCTGCTATTGATTATCTGGATCTAAGGTCTCTCGCGTTAGGGGCTAGTGTAAAAGAGTTTCCTTTGTGTGGTAAAGAGAGAGAAAGCTATGTGCCTTGTTATAACATAACTGGGAATTTGCTTGCTGGGCTTCAAGAGGGTGAGGAGTTAGATCGACACTGCGAGTTTGAAAGAGAGAAGGAAAGATGTGTAGTTCGTCCTCCGAGGGACTATAAAATACCACTTAGGTGGCCACTTGGTAGAGATATCATATGGAGTGGGAACGTGAAGATAACCAAAGACCAGTTTCTTTCGTCAGGAACCGTGACAACGAGGTCTTTTCTTTTGACATACAGTTTCTTTAAATACAGTTTCCCCATGTATTTGGTTCTGTTCTGTAATTTCTCTTTTTCCTTATCATCATTATTAGGTTAATGTTGCTTGAAGAGAATCAAATTACCTTTCACTCGGAGGATGGACAGGTCTTTGATGGCGTTAAAGACTATGCTCGTCAAATTGCTGAGATGATAGGTTTAGGAAGTGATACTGAATTTGCTCAAGCGGGTGTAAGTATTCTTAATCTTATCATCTTGCACATAAATTTTTAAGGTCCAGCTTCTGATATTTCTTCTGATGCTTGCAGGTACGAACTGTGTTAGACATTGGCTGCGGCTTTGGTAGCTTTGGTGCACATTTAGTGTCTTTAAAGCTGATGCCTATATGTATTGCTGAGTATGAGGCAACTGGGAGCCAAGTCCAGTTAGCTCTAGAAAGAGGCCTTCCTGCAATGATTGGCAATTTCTTTTCAAAACAGCTTCCTTACCCAGCATTGTCTTTTGACATGGTACATTGTGCTCAATGTGGCACTACTTGGGATATCAAAGGTAATTACATCAACATGTGTCGGGAGTGTGATAATCATTATATTTCTTAGGTTGAAAAATCTGGTGATTTGGATGATTGTGCTGATATGGCGGCGCTCTGTTTTTCCCTTAAACAGATGCAATGCTACTTTTGGAAGTGGATCGTGTTCTGAAACCCGGTGGATACTTTGTTTTAACTTCTCCTACAAACAAGGCACAGGGAAATTCACCCGATACTAAGAAAACGAGCATTTCGACACGGGTTGATGAGTTATCTAAGAAAATCTGCTGGAGTATAACAGCTCAGCAGGACGAGACGTTTCTTTGGCAGAAAACTACAAATTCAAAATGCTATTCATCCCGGTTAGTATGATTGTGAGACATGTTGTTGGCATTGAACGTGTAAGCTTACCTTTCCTATACTGATGCTTTTTCTTTTCTTTTTTGGGTTGTGTAGTTCGCAAGCTTCTATACCTCTTTGCAAAGATGGAGATAGCGTTCCGTATTACCACCCACTGGTTCCATGTATAAGCGGAACCACGAGTAAACGTTGGATTCCTATTCAGAATAGGTCTGCTGTTGCAGGAACAACATCGGCTGGGCTTGAAATTCATGGAAAGTGTCTCTTTTTTATAGCCCCTTCAATACTTCATTGTTTCTTTGCACTGTTCAATTTTCACTTGGTACTTTCAGATTTTAAAATTTTGTTTTGGAAATATTGAATACTTCAGGTTTAAAACCGGAGGAGTTCTTTGAGGATACGCAAATATGGAGATCAGCTCTGAAAAATTATTGGTCCTTGCTTACACCTCTAATTTTCTCTGACCACCCGAAGAGACCCGGTGATGAAGATCCTCTCCCGCCTTTTAACATGATACGCAATGTGATGGACATGAATGCTCGTTTTGGGAATTTAAATGCCGCTTTACATGACGAAGGCAAATCCGCTTGGGTAATGAATGTAGTCCCAGTCAATGCACGTAACACTCTTCCTATCATACTTGATAGAGGTTTCGCCGGTGTTCTACATGACTGGTGAGTGTGTTTTTGTCAGTGAAACTCATCAAAAGAAGACCCTTTCAAATATAAAAGTCCAATGCTTTTTACTGGAAATTCTATGATCAGATTCTTGAATATGTTTTTATTCACTGTGCAGGTGTGAACCATTCCCAACATATCCTAGAACGTACGACATGCTTCATGCCAATGAACTTCTTACACATCTTAGCTCCGAACAATGCAGCTTAATGGACTTATTCTTGGAGATGGATCGGATTCTTCGCCCTGAGGTTCATATATAAACACCATTCTTTTATTCCCACAAGATCCTGAAAACCCAACTAAAATAATAAACTTGACATAAATGTGATTTTGGTTCAATAGGGATGGGTTGTTATAAGTGACAAGGTGGAAGTAATCGAGGTAGCTCGCGCACTAGCAGCTAGAGTCCGTTGGGAAGCACGAGTCATTGATATTCAAGATGGTAGTGACCAAAGACTTCTCGTCTGTCAAAAACCATTCCTGAAAAAATAACTGAAAAGACAACATCAAAAAGTATTATATGCTTCTTTCAACCATAAACAACACTCACTACACAGTCTTTTCACTGGTAAGTTCACTCTTACATTGGTCTTAAATCAGAATCCCAAAAGCATCTAAGTTAACCAAGATCTAATTTGTTTTAACCAGATCCAAGATTATAACTCCTGCAAACTTTGGAGAGACATCATTATATTTTTTTTGGTTTTCGGATGGCTTTGTTAAAAACTTGAGAAGGGTGGGCTTGGCTATAATGTAAGTGGAAGGTGTAGCTATGAGTAGAGAAGAAAGAGTTTAGATTCAATATATTCTTTCATTTTTCCCTTTTTTTTTTTTCTTTTTTGTCTTTCTTTAATTTTGCTCTGGAACCAAAAAAAATGTAGCTATATATTTTTCCATTCATCCAATTTTTGTTTCCTGTAAAACGAGATTTTACTTCTGCTATTTTATTTTCCTTAATGTATTATTTCTTTTCAATGTTGAGAACTGAGATGTTTAGTAAATTGAGTTATTTACAGAAACAATAAACTCTTAATCTTTAACTTAAGGGGATGTATATTTTCAGAATGGCTTATCACTTTATCTCAAGTATATTTGATTAGCTGTTTTAGATTATTTGTCAAAAGAAAAACAATAAAAATGAGTCGAAAAAAAAAAAAAAAAAACAAAAAAAAGTGGAGATGCGGGGGATCGAACCCCGTGCCTCTCGCATGCAAAGCGAGCGCTCTACCATTTGAGCTACATCCCCGATTGGTTATAGTCTTCCATGTAAACTATGTATTTTAACATAACTTTTACATTAGCTGAGAGTTAAAAGACCTAAACCATGGTTGTAGATTTATAAATGAGTTTGTAAAGAAAAAAAAAGAAAAAAAAAGAACTACAACCCATTATAAAAGCTAGTAAAGTGTACATACAAGGATCCGTATATTGTTTTCCGTTGATTTTTGTTAAACGTCTAATTCATTTTGGTTACAAAACATATGAGAAAATGAAATATATGTTTCAAAGCATGAAAACTATACTAATAGGAATTTAGCAAAAAAAAACTATACTAAGAGGAAGAGATGAGGATCGGATTATTCGGATTAGCCAACTTTTCTAACACGGCATTCACAATCACGTTTTCCTTATTGATAAGTACATTTGCATCATCAATATAAGTATCATTTTTATAAGTGATGTAAAATTTCATTGTATCACTTATAAATAATGTAAAAATACAAAATAAATGATTCAGTCCACTCATTTTTTTTTTACTGATCCTTTACAATCATTTCCCGTTTTTGTATTGTTTTGCAACTTTTGTGTAACTTTGATAGTATGAACTCGTTAACTCACTATATATGATAGATGCGTTTGCTACGTAACGTTCTCATCTTTTAGAATCGTCGTGTGAATGTTTAGAGCGTTACTTGTTTCCTATATATATCGGATTTCTTATAAGAACTGATATTTTTGTGTTTGCCAAAAGTCACCCTACAAGGCTATAATCATTTCAATAAAGTCCAAAAAAATGTCTTCACGAATCATTTGAAATAACACAAGAAAATTTCCAAGATCCTAGATTCGTTCTCCAATAACATTTTTGGTTTAACGTTCAAGAAATTGTATCTCCTCATGACGCGTATATGAGTCTTGATTTGTAGATTCATATTTATATAAATAATTTTCGTCACATAAATTTGTATATTTGGTGACCAAAAATACAATAATTTGTATCATATATAAAAATAATATAGATACACGACGGAGCCACGAATATACACGTATATTTGTGTTGGTTTGTTCGCTCATGTGGTTCTGTAAAAAAATATCATGCCAGAATATGCAGATGATATTATATTAGGATAAGAGCAATAAAGAACTTTGCAAGAGAAAAAAAAAAGTTAAAGTAAAATAAGAATTAAAAAAATCTATATTTTTTATATATATAAAAGGAATGTTCTTAAAAAATAGAAGGTACCTAATTCCCTCAACACATTAACCAGTCATTTTGGAATTCTCTTTGTATTATCATTAATCTCCAAATTCCATCATCCATGCATTTCCTTTGAATAAAACCATTTTATTTCGTAGTAAAAAACCTAATAAATTACCCTCCAAAATTAGAATACAATAAAATAACCTTTTCTACTTTGAAATCATTTTCTGTTTGGAAATATCATGAATTGAAGAAAAAAAAAAAGTATTGATATAAATATATAGGTTTGGTCGCATTTGTTCAAACCAATGAAAATCTTCATGTGCAAGACTCCAACCCTTAACTTTTCTAAAGATTCTTATTTAGAATCCAACTTTAATTTTACATCTCTTTTTTCTTTTCTTTTATCTTTTCTTTATATTTCGGGAATGTGTAAAAGAGAGTTATATATATATATATATATATAATATGTATTGCATTTTAATAAATAAATAAAAAATTAGGTCGAAAAGTAAAGAGTGGTTTCTTTTATAGCATCCCATGCAAAGCACGCACAAAAGAGATTCTCTCGTGACACGTTTCGACTCACTTGCTTAAATCGCTTCCTTCTTAACTTTGTCTTCTGTCTGAATATCCCATTTGTCTGTATATTATACGGACTTCCGAATATTTCTCCACTCTATCTCTCTCCTTTTTCTTATATATATATATATATATCTTCTCCTTCTTCTTTTTTTTTTTTTTTTACATGTTATTCTTTTCTTTCAAGATATTATTTATTTTTCTATATACAAATATCAAGAAGCTAGAATGTTTTGAAATCGGGACTAATCAGATCATTTGTATTGGTAAAACCTGCCATTCGCGATCCGAGCATTACTGTTTTCGGTAAAAGAAAAAAACGTATTTTGATACGAGAAAAAAAAATTAGAAATATGAAATCATTTTATTCGAAAAATACGTTTTTTATTTTTATTTAAATCGGTTTGGTTCAGTTTGTTGTATATCTGATTGATTGTCTCTAGTTAATAAATAGTGATTTAGAAATTAGGCAATATGTTTTCACAAGCTATTTAGTGATAGAGAAATACAAGAATATACCTAAGTCACTAAAATTTATGTCAATTACATTTGCCAAATGACCTTTTTATTTTTTTTCCTTTGTCGGCTCGCAAAAGAATTCAATTTTCTACTTTTATGGGCGTCTAAAAGAGGATAAAGATACGAGTAGTCCAAGTTACGTTCCCTTCAACATTTTTGAGAATCACAATTTGTTCAATTACGTGATTTTTGCGGTCGGTTATGAATTTGATCTATGTTTGGTCTGGTCCGGTCCAATAGTAATACGACCAATTTTATACCAAATCCGTGACGTAATTTCTCATATATAGACAAATTTGGACCAAATAATAGTAGTGAATGTTTTATTTGTTGGGGATGAAAAAATCCTCTAATCTGGTCGGTTAAGTCTACAAATTTTTTGATATATATTTCCACTCAGATGTCGAATTATTGCTTAAAGGCAGGGATGATATCATGATAACTAACAAGTAGTATGTTTTAAATAATTTTTAGTTCTGGATTTATAGAAAGTAACTAAAAGTTTCGAATTTTTGGGCAATTATAAGAATTAAAAGAGAATATAATAAAGGACAATGAAAGTTACACTTAAGAAAACATTAGCATAACCATAGCTAGTACGTACTTGAATAGAAAGAAGAAAATATGAAATATTTGAATTGGATATCCAAATTTTTTAGGATATGCATGTCGGAGGGGTCTGTCCCAAAATTTTATGTTTGGCATTAGATGCCAATTGGGTTACTTGAAATTCTATATCATAAAATATAAAAAGCAAGCTATATCATTTCTTATAAACTAATGAAAAATGAAATATCCTATGATTAAGAATAAAGATTTCAAAGTTAATTTGATCTTTTTAATCAGATTTTTGTCAGTCACAACATATATATATATCATCACAAACTCCTATCATCCAAATCAAATTTGTATTAATGTGATCTTCAAAAAAAAAAAAAAGTGCAATATATCTAATAAGTAATTTGTGTTAGATACTGTATGTTGTGCATCACATGATTCACATTTTAAAGAGTGAAGCATATGAGGAAATTAGTTTTTTTTTTCCCGGTCTACACAATTATAGTTCATTGGCTTTCATTGAAACCTAGGTAGAAAAAGAAAATTTAAAAGACAATTTTGAAATTGCAAAAATTGTCTTTGAAAAAAGTTTAAAATATTTCCAAGGAAGTAAGAATCTTCTACCTTCCTGGCCACTTCACTAAAGCTCCCTCCGGTGGGAAGATTCTGCAACTCTCTCAAAACCTCTTTCAATAATATTTATATAAGTGAATAATATGTCCTAGCTAGCTAGAGTTTATGGTAGTAAACTAATAATAATTAAAATCAGATATTCCCTTTTCTTTCTCTCTTTTAGCATCCACTAAAAAATTTAGAATAATTTTTCAACTTTTTCAAATTCAATATAGAAAAATTTATTGATCAATCGTTATCTTTGTGTGTCTCTCTCACTCTCGACGTCGTGCGACTATATGCATATAAAAAAAAAATCTTGTTGTTGCCTAGCTAGTATATGCTTTCTTTTGATTTATAATGAATCTCAATTCCTTTAGAAAATAATTATTATATAAATGTTGAAGGTGGTGGAAGAATATTGTTTTTTTTTTTTTTTTGGCAACGACTCTAAATTGCCCTAAATGAACTGAAAACGTTCACTATTGATTCCTTTCATATACAGTACGTTGCGGTGGTGACTCCATAATGTTATTTAATTTTGTCGAAAAGATAAGAACCAAACATCTGAAATGTTACAAGCTTTGATCATTTATAGCGGAATTAGGAAACATAATTTTATCTGAAGAACTATGAAATTGAATTTTCAAAAAAGCATAAACAAAAGTAGAATCTGAGATTAAAAACAATTTATCGCTTTAATAGAAAAAAATAATTTTAAAACTTAGTTTTCTTACCCATTTGTTCTTTATAACAAGTTTCCATATATTCCCTTTTGCTCTGCTAGCTGCTTTATATCCTCCTCTTTTTCTCCTTTAGCCTCTCTTTTCTCTTTCTTTCATATGGAATTTGTATTATACAAATATATTAATTTGACAAAAGAAGTGATTAAAAACTAAGCATAATAAGAGAAGAAATATATGAAAATTTTAAATCAAGCTATTATATTTTTTTTGATGGTTTTATTGCATTAACCATGAGCCATAAATATACAGTTTAGGGTGTCTAATATTGAGTTACTTCTGTAATGTATCTTTAAAATAGATTAATGAGACCATATGGTTAAGAATTTTTTGTGCTAGATACGACAGCAAAATAAATAAATAAATAAAAATTCGTTCATCAAAAAGATAGAAAATTTTGTTTTACCACAAAAAATTCCATAAACTTGAGATACAATTTACCATAATATTACTACGCTTCAGTTTAACTCCAGACTTGTCCAAACTATTTAGTTAAAAGACCAATAAATGTTCTAAACAATCATATGACTTAGTTATGTTGTTTAATTAAGCTTCATGAAACCATATAAAATTGTAGAATCAAAAGCCTTTGATTAAGCTTTTTGAGTGTCACACCTTTAGTAATGGACTCATTAGAGAAGAGAGGAACGACTTCTAACAGTGATGAGAAGCCTCTCTCTCTCTCTCTCTCTCTCTCTCTCTCTAGAAGTATATCTCATGCTGGGTCTCTCTCTCTCTAGTGCTATAGATATATGTATGTGTATGTGTGTGTATGGTGACAGATCATTTTATTCCCCTCCCTTTGAATTGAGCCCTCTAAAAAGGACATGAACCTCCTCGTGATCCTTCTTGTGTCCACAACCTAACATTTTATTCCCCTTTTCCTCTCTATCTATCTTCTTCTTCATTCTCTCTTCTCTTCTCCAAACCCTAATTTCCACAATCCTTCAATATCATTAAATATATTTGTTAAGAAACATTTCGCATATACACATATCATCCTGGAACTTTAAGTCACCACAAAATTCTTCTTGATTCCTTGATCATTTTCTTATAACTTATATATATTCTTCTTATAATAATTATAGAGAGAGTATTATAGGTTATCATATATATACATGGCTTCCTCATCAGAACTAAGCTTGGATTGCAAGCCACAAAGCTACTCTATGCTTTTGAAATCCTTTGGAGATAACTTTCAAAGCGATCAAACCACGCAAAAGCTCGAAGATCTTCTTTCTCGCCTTGAACAAGAACGTCTTAAGATCGATGCCTTCAAGCGCGAGCTCCCTCTTTGCATGCAGCTCCTTAACAATGGTACATATATTTGATATATCCACTTATAGAAATGTTTAGATTACATGTAGATAGAGTTGCGTACAATATATAAATCCTTTTATCACAAAAAACCTAATTAAAACTATTAGTTGTTAGACGTATAGAAGAGTTTTTGAATTTCTTTTTACTTTTTTGAAAAGATCTTTATTCATTAGTTTAAGAATTTAATTCATAAAAATCAGAGCTTGCTTTTGTTTTCTTTGAATCACGAAACTTTTGTTTCTCCCATCACTGAAATCAACAAATCTCATTAAAGTGAGTTTAAAGATTATAAGGTTCATGTTATATATCTCACTTTCATATTTTAATTTACTTTATTATCTTTTAAATTGTCTTCCTTTTTTTTTCAGCTGTGGAAGTTTACAAACAACAACTAGAAGCATATCGACCAAATAGTAATAACAATAACCAAGGTGTACCCACAAGACCAGTTCTTGAAGAGTTCATACCCTTAAGGAACCAACCCGAAAAATCGAATAACAAAGGAAGTAATTGGATGACGACTGCTCAGCTTTGGAGCCAATCCGAAACCAAACCAAAAAATATTGATTCAACTGACCAATCTCTTCCAAAAGACGAGATTGCAAGTAGTCCAAAACTTGGACATTTCGATTCGAAACAAAGAAATGGCAGCGGCGCTTTTCTTCCCTTCTCTAAGGAACAATCTTTGCCTGAATTAGCTCTATCTACGGAGGTGATCAAGAGGGTCTCTCCGACCAGGGAACATACTAACGGCCAAGACGGTAATGATGAGAGCATGATCAACAATGACAATAACAATAATAACAACCATTCAAACAGCAATGGAGTTTCTTCTACAACGAGTCAAAGTAATAGAAAGGCACGACGTTGCTGGTCGCCGGACTTACACCGGAGATTTGTCCAAGCCCTTCAAATGCTTGGTGGTTCACAAGGTACAAAATACACTTATTCTAATTAGCTAAGCTAATTAATAATTAATTTGATGTAGGTTAAATTCCAACTAATCAGAACTATAACACACCAAATGCATAACTATTGTACACTATATACATATCTAGATTTATAAGTAGGTATAAATTAAATGAATCCAAATATAAGCTTGGGGTACTTATCCGACTTTGAGGTGAATATAAATTAAATTGGTGTATATATAAAATTGCCAAGATTTTGGTTTTGCTAAGATTTCTCTCTTTCATATTTTCTTTTGATTTTCAACGTATTTTATAAGTTGAGGTTGGAGTTTTCTATAGTTTTTTTTCAGTTGATAAAAAAATTACTAACTAAAGTGAAATTGAATATACGATAGATCAACTTGATTCAAAAATAATATGTTACATGTACAAGAGATCAACTTGACCTTTTATATACATCATTCAAATATAGTTAGCTTCAAATAAAGTGGAATTATGATTCCATTTTTTTTAAAGGATTTGGATTTAATTAGTTTATTATGTAGAGATTAAAAAATAACCTTGTGGTACCTAATTATAAAGCTCTAGTTCTCGAATAGAACTTATTTCATAGTATACGTACGAATTTAAAAATACTTGTATTTATATGATTGTTGTTATATCACACTGCAGTGGCTACACCAAAACAGATAAGGGAACTTATGAAAGTTGATGGTTTGACCAACGATGAAGTCAAAAGCCATCTCCAGGTAACTAAAATCTCAAGTCACTACAATATGCTATTTACAACTTTTATAAAACTCATATTAAAGCACACTTAACTAATGATGTATTAATTAACTTTAAACAAAAACAGAAGTATCGGCTTCACACTAGAAGACCAAGCCCAAGCCCACAAACGTCGGGTGGACCAGGTCCTCATTTGGTCGTCCTAGGTGGCATATGGGTTCCACCGGAGTACACCACCGCACACGGCGGCACTCCGACTCTCTACCATCACCAAGTCCACCACCACCACACCAGCTCGGCCGGGCAACCTCCACCGCACTTCTGCTCCTCTCAAGAGTTTTACACAACTCCACCGCATCCGCAGCAGCTCCACCACCACCACTTTCAAACGTTTAACTCCTCATCCGGTGGCGCCGCTTCCACCGATTCAACTCATCATCAGTTAACGGATACTGCCGCGGATGAAGCGAAGTCGTCGGAGAGTGGTGGAGGAGAGAGAAAAGGGTTGGCTGCTCTAAGGGAAGAAGATGAAGACCAAAGCAATGTTAATGGAAGTGAAATAACTCTCAAATTCTGAAAACACAAATTCTTGATTAATTTAATTAGAGGAATGATTTTAGGGTTAGGGTTTGTGGGTGGCTACGTAACTTATTTGATTGCTTGTATCTCTCTCTCTCTCTATAATACACTTATTATTATCATTTGAATAGACTTAACATTTTCACAATCCAATATCTTGATAGCGTTGTTAATTATACATAACAACCGCATGATAGATTTATGAGTTGCATACTTGGGTGTAAGAGAATCGCCACACACAAGAACACAAACAAGAAACTTTTGCATGATGGAACAATTTTCTGTATTAGTGTTTCTTTTCTTCTTCTTTTTCTCTTTACTTTTCTTGCGGATGTGTGAATGAATTATGATTGAATAATTTTCAACACTTGCATAATCTATATATAATCCCTTCCTATATGTAGTTTCTTATAATATTGAATTTGCTTAATTAGCAAAATAATAATGTACAGTATATGGATTTAATTTTATTCCTATAAAAAATTTGGTCAACCTTTGACTGAGTATATACATATTGTAGTAGGATATGATGGCATTTATTATGTTGACTATAATATTATCTACTACAATACTTTTATATTGCTTGTATCTATCTCTCTATATAATTATATAATTTTCACATATGTTGAAATTTAAAAATTTAAAAATAAATGTATTACCTATCTGACTTTTTTTAAAAGTGTATGTAAAACATCTCACATCAGATAAAAAATTTAGACAACGGTTCAGAACCATTGTAAATATGACTCATATGCTTCCAACTACAAATGAACAAGAGAATCTTGAAATCTGAGGCGTCCAAATTTAAAAGTTTTATCTAGTTTAACCTGGTTTTTTATTTGAGCAAATTAAAATTTTTAAAATGAAATTTTTTAAAAATTATCAGTATTGAAACTGATATATTTAGTATTTAAATTGAATAAAATTAAAACGGATGGATTATACGACGGCACGAGTTTGAATCGATAATACTAAAAATTTAAAATAATATTACTCTCATATTCAGTATGTGTAAAATCTTCATTTTACTAATTTTTTAATAACGCCAATATAAGATATGTATGACCAAACTAATTTAATAAAATTGTATTTTGTAATCTTAATAATTATTAAATAAACGCCAAAAAAATTTATAAATCTCAAAAATATAAATTTAAAAATAAATGTTTACCCCATAATATAACGCGGATTAAAATCTATTTATTATTATTTTTATTTCAATTGACTTAACATTTTCACAATCCAATATCTTGATAGCGTTGTTAATTAAAGATCGCAACCACATGATAAATCAGTGGCGTCAGGTGTCTTTTTAATACATTTCCCGCTTGCATAATGCATTTCAATGCATTTTTTATTACAGTCTTGAATTTTTGAGCAAGAACCAATGATGAGAATTCCATGTCTCTGTGACTCGTCGGCTTCCACAGTTTCTGTAATGTTGAAAACAATACATTCAAAAACATTAAATATGAGCATATCATATATATATTTAAATTGAAAAAATCTAGAATTTCTGAGTTACATACTTGGGTGTAAGAGAACTGCCACACACAAGAACACAATCAAGAAACTTTTGCATGATAAAGCCATTTTTGTATATTAGTGTTTCTTTTCTTCTTCTTTTTCTCTTTTCTTTTTCTTGAGGGTGTGAATGATTTATGATTGAATAATTCTCAACACTTGCATAATATATATAGAGATCTTTGATCCCTTCCTATATGTTATTTCATATAGTATTGACTTTGCTTAATTAGCAAAAAAAACAATATATGGATTAAATTTATTTCTATAGATAATTTGGTCAACCTTTGACTGATATTATATACAGTAGTAGGATATGATGGCATTTATCATGTTGACTATACTATAATCTACTATAGTATTTTTGCAACCAATTTTGCCAAAAAAGAAAAGAATCTTTGGTAGTATTTTTGCAACCAATTTTGCAAAATTTTAATGGTCTTTGAATTTAGTTCAAAAACAATTAGTTACTTGTTTTACATAACAATAAATATTTATTATCATTTTTTAATTTCCAACTTTTAATATGAGTACTAAAAAAAATATCATTATTCTCATATTTTAATATGGGTAAGATCTTCGTTTTACTACGTTTTAAAAAAACGATAATATAGGACATGTATAACCAAATTAATTCAACAAAATTTGATATTATGCAATCTTAATAATTATTAAATAAACTCCAATAATATGTAAAATTTCAAAAATATGAATTAAAATATAAATGTTTGCCTCGCCTGTACAATAGGTTAAAAGCTAGTCCTAATATATATGGTTTTAACCTTTATTTTGAATCTCTTTCTCTTTCTTTTTTTTCTTTTTTTTTTTACTTTTTGGTGAACTGAAGAGTCTGTAAAAAAAAGAGTTTTTTAGTGTGCCCATTTATATAAACAGAGTAAGAGAGGTGTTTATAATCTTATGTTGTGGGAAAAAAAAAAAGAAATTACATTTTTTATATGTTCTTTGGCCGGAGTGCAAATGGATTCTTCAGCAGATCAAGTAACTCTCTAGCAGTAAGTTTAGTGCTGATAGAGAGTTAGCTACATTTTTTTAACACTTGTTTCCCTGCAGTGAGATAGATAACACAAAACAAAAACCATTACGAGAGGAACATGAGACCAAAGTTAAGTTCAGATGGATTATTCAGCCTAGTTTGTTGCTTCTTAAGGTCCATCAACTTTCCTCCTTAAGAAAACTGCAGTGGTGGTTTGGGTGTGCAAGCAGTAGGAAGGCAATGTTGCTGTTAGACTCATTTAACAGTGATTCAATCTCCCAAAGAAGATACAAAAAACCTGGCATTTGCCTTTTATTGTACCATTACTTTTCTTGTGTAGCAGAGTTGTTTGTTTTTTATTGTGATATTACCTTCGTTGATTTTAGTGTGATCCACAATTCTAAGATAACTTCTAATATGCTGCATTGAGTATAACAAGCAAAGATTAATACTAGTTGAGGGATATATAAACTTGTACAGAACAAAATCAAGATACGCAGAGGATTTAAAGATTCTTACAGAGAAAGAAGAGGATCTTTCCATCACGTAATGTAGTTGAAAGCTGGAGCATCCAAAATCTGCATCAAATGACATAACACATTTTATTTCGTTAAGTTGTCTATTTTTGTTAATAAATATATACCTCACTAAACTAGATGACTTACCTTCTTGTTCTCTGCTTTTTCACAGGTCGAATTTCAAACTTCGGTGTTAACAAGACCTTGTATTGTCATGTAAAACAAAGTCGCTGGTTTCTGGATTAAGAATGTACATAAATCAATGATGAGGAGGAAGAGTTTATGTTGCACAATGGGATATGGAGTGAATAATGCTGCTTTTGTTACAATTTGGCTCACCTATCTTGATTTGTTTCCCTAAATCTGTTTGGTAGAGCTTTCTATGTTTCCCTGCAGTGAATAAACGCACACAAAAAACTATTACAAGAGGAATTAAAACATATTTGGTTATCAGATTCAAGAATGTGAGCTACCTTTTCACAATTTTCTGATGACAGTTGTGACTGGTTTTTTGGCCTGAGTGCAGATGGATTCCTCAGCAGATTAACCATTTTTCTAGCAGTTTGCAGCTTCTTAAGGTCCATCGACATATCTCCTTGAGAAAACTCCTGGGGTGGTCTGGGTAAGGAATGTTCTCCTTGTTTTCTATATGCTCAGACGTCCACATCACCGAGAGTACTACTGAATGAAAAAGAAGAAAAAGCATTAGAATAGCCTTACATATATATCACTAAACTACAATACCATCTCACAAAGAATGATATAGAACCTGGCATCTGAAATCTTTTTGTTGAACTCTGCATCCTCAAAATTTTGTTATTTCCCAAAGCTTGCTTGCTTTGTAAAGAAATAGTCCTTACGGCTCTTTTTTCATGCAGAGTGAAGAATAGTCCTTATGATGAGTCTAAACTTTGTAAAAATTACCTCTTAAGTTTAAATATCACGTGGACACAACACATTCTCAACTGCCTTTCACATGATTCTCAAAGTAATCATAGAGTTCTACATTTTGGATTCTCCACTTAAGACTTACGTTGAAGCTACTGAGGATGTCTTTGTTTGAAAATGAAATTCCTGCAACAATAAGAAAGTTAGATGCTTGTACATTAATCAAACAGATTCATTAAGCTATGATTCTATTCTAAAGTGATGATAATCTCTGACAGATGGTATACCTGAAATTCTGGCATATGTGGTACAAGGAAAAAGCTGGAGCTAGGGTGAAGCTTGCTGATTTTGAAACAATATGGCTCCAGGATTTACTGTTAAAAGAACAAGAAGGAAAAATATTACAACGGTCTTTTAACTCACTTAACTGCAATACCACCTCACAAAAGAGTGATAAAGAACCTGGAGCCTGCAGTCTTGTTATTGTGCGTTGGGTCTTATTAAGACAGCTTAATTGTGAACTTCTTCTTTCTTGGCCCTAGAAGGTTGTGCTTGTGAAAAAACACAGATGCAGCTCCTTAGACGCTTTCTATCTCTCTTCTCATCCACAAATATGTACCATCTACTTTGATCGATGAAACTCCAATAAAAGTAACAACAGAAAGATAAAATATGTTGAATTTAGAGATACAGTCTTACGCAGTCCTTAATTTTAGAAAACATAGGATTTGAGATCACTTACAGAGCAAGAAGAGGCATTTTCCATTGTTAGGTCATAATCTAGCTTTTGCCTCTTTGATTTTCCTGAATCAGATTGGTAGTGTTCTTTTTAACACTTGTATCCCTGCAGTCAAAGAATCAACACATTAAAGAACGTAATCAAGATATTAAAATCAATGATGAGGAGTGAGGACGTTTCAGTCATGCAGCCAAGATCATGCTTAATTTTTAACAATTTAGCTTACATGTCTTGATTTTGCATGATCTAGCTTTGCCTTTTGATAGCTTTATTTCTCTGAACGAGTTTGGTAGAGTTAGCTATGTTTTCAACACTCTTTTCTCTGCAGTAATAAACACAGACAAAAAAAACACTATTACAAGAGAATCATGAAACCAGATTTAAGTATCAGAATGGTTATTAATTAATCATATGAGCTACCTTTTCAAATTTCTGATGACTGCCATTGGCAAGAGACAACTGAGACTGTTTTTTTTTATGCCTGAGTGCAAACGGATTCCTCAGCAAATTAACCATTTTTCTAGTACTTTGCAGCTTCTTAGAGTCCATTCACCAATCTCCTTGAGAAAACAACACCATCCTAGAAGTTAATAAAAAAAAGGAAAGATAAGAGAAAAGTTAAAATGAATCAGAGAGTACATCAATTGTGTATAATTTGTGGAAGGGAATTGTACATCAACGACAAGTACCTTTTTGTTCACAAGTTTTGATTTGAAATCTGGTGCCTTGTCGAGTTCCACTTCAATAGATTCTTGATGTTCAGAAGGAAAAAAAAAAAGGATTCTTGATTGAGGGAAAGATAAATTTGAAACAGGACAAAGTAAAGAAGGGCATATAGGAATTTTGGGATGACTTACAGAGCCATGAAGACGACGTCCTCTGAACATCTGTCACTTGCAAAGACACGAAGGGCAATACTTTCACAAGATAATATTCATCAACAATGCTTGGATTCTGAAACTAGAAAAGAGAAGAATAGGTGATAAGATATACCACAGAAGAAAAAGAAAAAGAGATTATTAAAAGTTAAGGGACAAAACTTGAAACAGAAAGAAATAGAATCATGATCAGGATCTCAATAAGTGTTTACTTACAGATGGTTTTCCTCATAGTTGCTGTTGTTGATGTTGTTATTGTAAGAACACACTGGTGATCGTTTTTGTTCTGAATCGACTTCGTACGTCCTTGAAAAAATCTGAGTCATCGTGCTTGTTAGAATACAAACACCTGTTTCTTTTGACCCATAAATGAAAAACAAAATTAGAAAAGTTAAAAGGACTCGAGAGTACCTCAGTAGATAAAATAAAGGGAACTTGAAACAGAAAGAAATAAAATTATAATAAGGATCTTAATAAGTGTTTACTTATATATGATTTTTCCCATTGTTGTTGTTTTTTACTTGGGCCGGTCATCCCTAAAATTATGCATGCGAAGAAAGAGTGAACTATATGTATCTATCATCTAGAGAAGCAACAAAGAAAACAATGAAAAACTGACGTTGTTACCGTAAGGAGAAATTTGTTTTTGTTTGGTTCTGAATCTTCTTCAGTCTTCAAAACATAGCATATCTCCGATCTGCACAAAATTATTAAATTAGAAGAAACTTTGTTAAAACAACAACCTCAGTGAAAACAAAATCGCAGTCACATTCTCATCTTAAATTGAAACAAAAGAAAACTCGAGGAAGCGGACAAGACAACCTATATATACCTTTTAACCAATCAGTTTGCTGTTGTAACTATAAGAACATGCCGTTGACCGGTTTTGTTCTGAATCTACTTCGTACTTCTTTAAAAAACTCTGAGTCATCGTCCTAGTTGGAAGTTGGAACACCAACACAGACGCACACCTGTTTCGTTTCACCCAAAAACGAAAATAAATAAGAAAAGTTCAAAGGAATCGGAGAGTATCTTAGTAATTTATTACCTGTGGAATCAGAGAGTACCTCTAGTTTATATTTTCCTAAATCAGTTTGGTAGAGCTAGCTATGTTTTGACACTCTTTCCGCTGCAATGAGGAAATAAACGCACAAGAGGAAGGTGAAACCAGATTTGAATATCAGAATGGTTATTAATTAAGAATGTGAGCTACCTTTTCAGCCATTGGCTTGAGACATCTGTGACTGGTCTTTTGGCCTGAGTACATATGGGTTCCTCAGTAGATTAACCATCTTTCTAGCAGTTTGCAGTTTCTTAAGGTCCATTGACTTATCTCCTTAAGAACCCGCTTTTAGGAAAACATCACCATCCTAGAAGTTAATCAAAATAGAGGAAAGTTAAAAGGTATCAGAGAGTACCTCGATTGTATCTAACCTGTGGAAAGGAAAATGGTTGGCATGAGGCAATGACAAGTACCGTTTTGTTCACAAGTTTTGCTTTGAATTATGGTGCCTTGTCGAGTTCCACTTAAATAACAACTTGCTGTTCAACAAACACAAAAACAAAAACAAAAAGAGATTGGTTAATGGAGATAGATAAACTTGAAACAGAAATAAATAAAGAAGAGTATAGAGGAATTTGAGATGACTTACTACATATATCTCCATCGATTGGGTCCATAATTCAACACCATCCCTTATAATAATAATGAGAAGAAAGTGAATCATGTATACAACAAAACAAAAAATTCTCCATCATCAAGATCATGTATACAAAACAATATTCATATTTAATAAAGCAAAACATTCATATGAGAGTTGAAGAAACACACTGTAAACCCCCAAAACTTTACCTTTTTTCATTGTGGAGTTTCTCGTCAAGTTCGATGAGAGTTGAAGAAGAAACGCCAGGTCCTCTGAATACTCATCACTGAGAGACACGAAAACAATACTGCCAACAAATATTATTCATCAACAATGCTTGGATTCTGGGAGTAGAGAAGAAAATATGATGGTGATAAGTTATATAACACACAAAAGAAAAAGAAAAGAGAGTATTATTGGTTAAGTGATAAAACTTGAAACAGAAACAAATAATAAGATCTTAATAGAAGTGTTTACTTACAGAGGATTTTTCCCACTGTTGTGTTGTTGTTGACTTGGGCCGGTCATCCCTATAATTATACAAAGGAAGAAGTGAACTTCATGTATATCTGCATCATCTAAAGAAGCAACAAAGAATACAATATCATATCTGCACAAAAATATACACACCTGTTTCGTTTCACCCAAAAAAAGAAACAACAAACGCATTAATTAAGATCCCATATACAAAAACAAACTCTTATTTCAAAAGCAAAACATCAACACCACCTTTTGTTCTGAATCTTCTTCATATCTGCACAAAAATATACAATTAGAAGTCTAAATTAAAATAACAGAGTCACATTCCCATATAAAATTGAAAACAAAGATAACCGCAAATTTGAGGAAACGAACAAGAGAAGAGGAGGTGCAGAGTCAAGACAAAGACCTATCTATACCTTTTAATCGATCAGTTTGATGTTGTTACTGTAAGAACACGCCGACGACCGTGATTGTTCTGAATCTACTTCATCATCTTTCAAAACATTAATCTGAGTAACACGAACACACACCTGTTTCACCCAAAAGAAAAAACAAACAAACAAACCCATTAAGAAGCAAGTTCGACTCTCTTTTATGGAAGTGGACAAGGAAAGAAAGACCTAGATTACCTTCTCATCGATAAGTTTGATATTATTACTTACTGTAAGAAAGCCGACTAATGTTTTTGTTCTACATTTTGGTTTCTCCACTAAAGACACTTCCGTTGAAGCTACTGAGGATGTCTTTGTTTGAAAATGAAATTCCTGCAACAATAAGAAAGTGAGATCCTTGTACATTAATCAAACAGATTCATTGGGCTATGAGTCTATTCTAAAGTGATGATAATCTCTGACAGAGGGTATACCTGAAATTCTGGCAGATGTGGTGCAGGAAAAAGTTGGAGCTAGGGTGAAGCTTGCTGATTTTGAAACAATATGGCTCCAGGATTTACTGTTAAAAGAACAAGAAGGGAAAATATTACAACGGTATTTTAACTCACTTAACTGCAATACCACCTCCCAAAAGAGTGATAAAGAACCTGGAGCCTGCAGTCTTGTTTTTGTGCGTTGAGTCTTATGAAAGACGGCTTAATAGTGAACTTCTTCTTTCTTGGCCCTAGAAGGTTGTGCTTGTGAAAAAACAGATGCATCCTTAAACGCTTTCTATCACTCTTCTCATCCACAATTATGTACCATCTACATTCATTTCTTGTAGTTTCTTAAGATGTTCCTCAAGCTCCCCTGCGTTCGGGTCCTCCTCTCATGCTTTTTATCGCTCTTTTGATCCATTCCTGAAACCAATTTAACATATTATAAATCTCGAATCGACGAAACTCCAATAAAAGTAACACCAGAAAAATAAAATATGTTGAATTTAGAGATACAGTCTTAGACAATCCTTAATTTTAGAAAACATAGGATTTGAGATCACTTACAGAGCAAGAGGAGGCATTTTCCATTGTTAGGTCATAATCTAGCTTTTGCCTCTTTGATCGCTTTGGTTTTCCTGAATCAGATTGGTAGTGTTCTTTTTAACACTTGTATCTTTGCAGTCAAAGAATCAACACATTAAAGAACGTAATCAAGATATTAAAATCAATGATGAGGAGTGAGGACGCAAGCGTTTCATTCATGCAGCCGAGATCATACTGAATTTTTAACAATTTAGCTTACATGTCTTGATTTTGCATCATCTAGCTTTGCCTTTTGATAGCTTTATTTCTCTAAACGAGTTTGGTAGAGTTAGCTATGTTTTCAACACTCTTTTCTCTGCAGTAATAAACGCACACAAAAAAAACACTATTACAAGAGAATCATGAAACCAGATTTAAGTATCAGAATGGTTATTAATTAATCATATGAGCTACCTTTTCAATTTTCTGATGACTGCCATTGGCAAGAGACAACTGTGACTGTTTTTTAGTACTTTGCAGCTTCTTAGAGTCCATTGACCAATCTCCTTGAGAAAACAGCTGTTAATTCCTTGTCAATGTTACTTAGGTCGGTTGGAAAACAACACCATCCTGGAAGTTAATCAAAAAAAGGAAAGATAAGAGAAGAGTTAAAATGAATCAGAGAGTACATCAATTGTGTATAATTTGTGGAAGAGAATTGTACATCAGCGACAAGTACCTTTTTGTTCACAAGTTTTGATCTAAAATCTGGTCCCTTGTCGAGTTCCACTTTAGTAGATTCTTGTTGTTCAGAAGGAAAAAAAAGGATTCTTGATTGAGGGAAAAATAAATTTGAAAGAGGACAAAGTAAAGAAGGGCATATAGGAATTTTGGGATGACTTACAGAGCCATGTTGACAACGTCCTCTGAACATCCGTCACTTGCAAAGACACGAAAACAATACTTTCACCAGATAATATTCATCAACAATGCTTGGATTCTGAAACTAGAAAAGAGAAGAATGGGTGATAAAATATAACACACAAAAGAAAAAGAAAAAGAGATTATTAAAAGTTAATGGACAAAACTTGAAACAGAAAGAAATAAAATCAAGATCAGGATCTCAATAAGTGTTTACTTACAAATGGTTTCCCCATAGTTGTTGTTGTTGTTGTTGACTTGGGCCGGTCATCCCTAAAATGATGCATGCGAAGAAAGAGTAAACCATATATATATCTCCATCATCTAGAGAGGCAACAAAGAAAACAATGAAAAAAACTCTGCTTTGTTACCGTAAGGGAAGTTTGTTTTTGTTTGGTTCTGAATCTTCTTCATTCTTCAAAATCTAGCATATCTTCGATCTGCACAAAAATATTAAATTAGAAGAAGCTTCGTTAAAACAATAGCCTAAGTGAAAACAAAATCTCACTCACATTCCTATCTTAAATTGAAACAACAACAAATTAGAGGAAGCGGACAAGACAACAGATCTATACTTTTTAACCGATCAGTTTGATGTTGTTATTGAAAGGATACACCAGTGACCGTTTTTGTTCTGAATTGACTTCTTTTGAAAAAATCAGAGTCATCGTCCTTGTTGGAATACGAACACCTAATTCTTTTGACCCCTAAATGAAAAAAAAATTAGAAAAGTTAAAAGGAGTCAAGAGAGTACCTCAGTAGTTTATCAATTCGCTCTTTTGATCCATTCCTCAAAACCAATTAAACATATTATCAATCTTAAAACGTTGAAACTCACTAAAAATCACAATTAAAGGACGAAATTCCTTATTCTTAGAGATTCCTACAGTCTACGCAATAACAAAGTTTGGAAAAACATAGGATTTTGAGATCACTTACAGTGCAAGAAGAGGCTTTTTCCATCGTTGCCTTTTTGATTGCTTTGATTTTCCTGAATCAGATTGGTAGTGTTGTTTTTAACACTTGTTTCACTGCAGTCTCAACACATTAAAATCAATGATAAGGTTTAAAGAGTTTCAGTCATGTAGTGAGATCATGATGAACTCTTAACAATTTAACTTACTTGTCTTGATTTTGCATCATCTAGCTTTGCCTTTTGATAGCTTCATTTTCCTGAAT